TATTTCAAGTTACAGCAACAACAACATTTTTTTCTCCAGGCCATGTATTCTTTCATAGTCCACTCTCTTATCTGTATTGTTTGTTTTCATAAAGAAAATTTCATATCGCATCTACATTTCTCAACTTTATTTTTTCGATTATGTTTAGAAGCGTATGCATTATTATTTTATTTCGCCGAATTCAAAGGTTTTTATTTTACGTATTTTATAATAAAAACTACATATAAAGTTATAGCATAGAATAAATGAATTGCAACGTTCAGTTTCGACTACTTAAATTAAAGTCTATCACTAGGGTTAGTAGATATAATACGGTAGTGTGAGATGTATTATTATTATTATTTTATCCTTTAATTCCTAGAGGAACATAGGCCTTCAGCCGCGCGTCTTGGTTTTCTGCCAACTTTTTCACCCCGCTCTAAGTCTGCCCACATGTTTTCATATCCTCTTCACATGACCTCCTCCAAGTCACCCTCGCATTGACGACCAACTCGCCGATGACAGGAGATTATGTGGGAAGAAGATGAAAGCTTCTATGCATTCGTGAAGTGAAGATGTATCGCTGAGGTTATAACGATATCCTATTCAGAATGTAAGGAATGCATAGGACTATCATAATTAAAATAAAAAACATCATAATTCTTGGTTGTCCAAGTAAAATTAATTGAAAAAGTATTCGAAATTAAGCATCATCGGTTAAAACCGAGCATTTCAGCTAATACGTGTGACAACTTAACAGGTTTTCAAGAAATTACATCCGGTGAGGGAACTGAATCATAGATGTGAATCTTTTGAGAAAAATCCTAACAGAAAATGTATTTCCACCACGTTTTATAGACAGGAATATACAGTCAAATCTTATGAAATGTGATCCGTACCCAAGGAAATACTGTACGTGAGCTTGGAATTCAAAGGTGACTTAAGTTTCGATATCACGAAAAGAACGGTCTCAAAGTCCCTGAAAAGAATGTTCATCCCCTGGTGCATCTTTGAGAATAACCTTCACCATCACTGTTCAGTAACATGAAGGACAAGATCCTGCAGCTGACCAACTCTATGTACGTTTATCAATTCACTTGTTCGTGTGGAGCTAAGTATATCGGTCGTTCGACTAGAGTTTTGCTCAGGAGGGTGAAAAAACACCATCCTGCATGGTTACGAAAAGGTGGAAATGGTGCAATAAGAAGCGCGATCATTGAACATCTGGTTGATAATGATCACCCTGTATCTATAACCTCTGCCTTCAAAGTCATCTACAAGACAAAAAGGTAATTTGCCCAAATCACTATGTATCCAACTCATCTGTACTACCAAAGCTTTGGCCATCAAAACAGAAAAAGCCAAATCTTTGTATACAGAAAACGTTTGCACAACCCCTCCAACCCTCATGGTCTTAAAAACTCTATGCTAAAGTATGATAATCCCTAATCATATGTTGTCTCTACTTAATTTCCATTTTGATTATTCAGTTTGTACACTCCTCCTTTAATACGTCAACTGTTACTACTATTAATATTCTCACTTTGAATTGTCCTCGGTATTGTTTCACTCGTTCCACTTCTCATTCCAAATCAATTTTGGTTTGCAACGTTAAATTCCATGTGATCGAATTTCATACAATGTTGAGTAACGTTCTTATCTCTATCCTGTTTGCCTACTAATCCTATAATTGCACATCCCTTCCAAGTTCTATACATCCTATGAATTATTCTATATATGACATTCTTTTGCCACTTAACATTTAACTATGGTTATAATCAACAAATATGCAGGAAGAAACGGAGGTGGATTGACTGGCCATACTCTGAGAAAACAAACCATAAAGTGAGTGACATAACACACCAGGTCATTGGTCGAGTGTAACCCAAATGGGAAAGGCGAGTTGGTCGTCATTCCGAGGGTGACATGGATGAGGACACATGAAGAGGAGATGACAGTATGTGGGCAGACGTGGAGCCAGGTGAAAACGTCGGCAGAGAACCGAACATAATGGAGATGTGCGGCCGAAGCCCTATATTCCTCCAGGAATTGATTAATATATTATATTATTATTTCCTTTAATTCCTAGAGGAATATAGGGCTGCAGCCCCGCATCTCCATTGCATTCGGTTCTCTGCTAGTTTTCACCTGGCTCTAAGTTCGCCCACATGCTTTCATCTACTCTTTATGTGTCGTCATCCATGTCACCCTCGAACTGACGACCAACTCGCCGCTACCCTTTCGGGTTTCACTCCAGGGCTTGTCTTGGGATGCCACTTGATGGTTTCCTCAGAGTGTGGCCAATCGAATCCACCTCCATTTCTTCCTGCATATTTGTTGCACAATCGGTTCCTGGTTGGTTCGCTCATTGCCAGAGGTCCCTCACTATTGCTGATCTTTTCTGGCCGGCCATCTGATCTTGAGTATTGAGCGAAGACAACTGTTGATGAAGGTCTGTAGTTTGTATGAAGTGCTCTTTATGACGCGCCAAGTCTCTGATCCATACATTAGGTAGCACTGACTTCAAATTGAAGTTGAAAATCCGGATCTTATTTTCATTTACCTGCTGAGTGCTGTTGACCTCCACACAGACTTGAAAGTAATAAAAGCTTGTATTGCTTTGATATCCTCGTCAGTTCCGTCTGCCTGTAGTTGAAACGATGCTTCCCAGGTAGGTAAAGGAGGTTGTTTCTTTCAGGTTCCTCCCATTTACTCTGGCTGATTGTTGTCTGTTGTTGTTGCTGTTGGTGTTGGCCAGGAACCCTCATCACCTCTGTTTAATGTAACAACTTCTACAGCGTTATCATCGGGTTTATACTACACAGTATTAGAAATTTATTGATTACTATTCGTTTGCTCGACCAAGAACCTATTGCTCAACAAATATATTTATATAAGATGAGGCAGTAACTCATCGAAGAAGACATTGCGAAATGGTAGCGTTATGTCATGAATTGGCAGAAGTTAGAATTCATAGGTCATTGGATCAGGTCCCAGTGGCTTAGTGGTCTACGAGCTCGCTAGACTTGTAACTAGAAGATCCTGGGTTCGAACCCTGGTAGGTGTGCACTGCCGGAAAGTCTCAAACTAGGACGAAACAGCTGTCCAATACTCCCAGATTTTCCAGGGGTTCTCTGATGTCAGCTCATGATGAAATCCTCCATCCAATCAAACAAAATCCCTACAAAACCACCACTCTAGTGACAGCCAAATGGGAAATTCTGAGTGGGGCGTTCAAGGGTGACATAAAAAAGAGGAGCCAAAGAGGAGTGCAGAAAATAGGACAAACTGGAAATGTGCCACTGAAGTCCTATTTTCTATTAGGAACCCAAGGTAACTATAGTAGTAGGTAACTACTTTGTTCTATAGAAATGTGGCTTATTTCGGTTTAAGCGCTGAATTTTCAGCCAATGGGTCCTGAGTTCGAATACCACTCCACATACGTCTATCTGAGTGAATGGGTAGTGTCATCTGTCCTTGTTGTGAACTTTTCTTATAATACGTATCTAATCATATTCATATCTCTACCGCTATTAACACTCTTTTTCCCTTCATACGTTTAAGCCATTCCGGCTTCATTGTAAAATGAATAAAGCGTAAATTCTTGATTCATTCGTCTTTTCAAGATTCAAGCATCACTCATCGTTCTAAGACTCAGTCACCTTCATAACAGTCTTCACACAACAATTATGTATTTGCGTATTTATTGGGACATAGTTAGTACTTTATGGGTGCCAAGAGATGTAACTAAACTTTTTGCGAGAGTTGGGTTACTACTCAAAAGTTCAGACGAAGGCAGGTGGTTGACTTACATTAAGGGACCACGCTTTGAGTCTTTGACTTGATGTTTGATGCACGACGCACTGGGGCAGCGCCACCCTCTTTGGTTAGGATTCAGATTCTGGATCCCATGTACACCGTAGGTGTAGAAGAAGAGTTCTCCAGCTCCCTTAGGTTGACCAGCATGTTCATCTATCTGATTTTAAGGAATGGAAGTTCGCATTTGCTCTTTCATATCCGTTAGCCATGTAAACGCACTGAATAGGACTCACCTTGCAAGGAGCTGTGAACGCGTGGCCTCATGAGAGCATTTCGAGAGAAAGGCAGAATTTTGCCCGCCCTCCGCCACTTCAGGTCGTTTATGGGAGCATTTTACTACTCATTATCTGGTTGTTTCAAGGATTTTTTGGTTGACTTTTCAGAAATGTGGCAATATTAATCATGGTATGGTTGTCCGTCATATTTCTACTCCGTACATTTCCCGTTAGGTTATAAACGTCTGTTATTCTCATAAGACTCATACTGAATAGTAATATGGAAGAACAGCAGAGTTTTGTTGGATATAATAAGTCACAAAGAGTGAATGCATCTGCACCATTGAGGACGATTTTGAACCATATCACCAACTGTCTCCAGCCATTGGTGTTTACCATCTCGAGGACCTTAACCAGTTAGCAAGTCTACACCTCCCTACGTGGCTGGCATAAACTAAGTGTTGTGGATTTCATTGACTGAAAAAGCCATGCTTTGGTTTGATCACTCACTACTAACTCTTTTCCAACCTGACCCTATATCAGTTAGCATTGCCCGTCTAGGAAGGCGATGGTTAGGCATGCATAACACATATCTTAGCCATCTCAAACTGTGTAGCTTCATCGGTAGATTTTCCCCTTCTTACCTAACACTCGACGCCTAGCGTCAATATTACTCATCCTGTTATACCACCTAAAGCAGACACCTATGATCAAAGGCAGCTAGTCAGCCTTTTCAAATCTTCCACTTCCATTGGTCATGTATGACTGACAACCATAAAGTATGGCTGAGCGAAGTGCCTTGCAATACACACGTCCTTTAATCGATAGCGGAATATTGTGTCTATGCCAGAGATAATGTAGGTTGGCAAATGCCACACGAGCCTTTTGTATCTGTTGTTAGCATTAGTTCCATTTGAATCTGTAAGTTAAGCACTTTTCCTTCACTCCTTTATTAAATGGTTCTCCTTTCATTCTTTTTCCTTTCAGCTGATTCATCTAAGCCAGTTGTCGTTGTTCGTCCAAGTTTCTCCAATTCACATCATAATGCCAAGCCTAACAATGCTCGTTATGATGTATCCAGTAGTTCAGACCCGGCATATGGTACTACAGCTCAGTGCAAATTGAAGTCAGATACTGATAATGGTGCATATAATTATGCTGGGTTTAACTCTTTTACCCAACAACCATTAACATCATCATCCTCACCATATAATAGTGATCTTCCTGTTCCATGGACAGAGGCTGCTAAAGCAGCTTTTCATCAATTTTTTAAAAGTCAAACAGAAGTCAACTCATCATCTACGTCTTTTCATGGTGAAAAACCATTTTCAACATATCCCACAGTTAATCAACCTACTGGTGGTAGTGGTATATCTTCAGGACCTGGAATGGTTCAACCTCCGAAGTGAGTTTTTCATTATGTTTTCAGTGTGTGTCAACAGCTTTATGGCTTGCTGATTGACTTATTATTATTTTATTCCTTTACGCTCCTAGTGGAGCATAGGACTTCAAGCTAGAGCTTTGAAGTTTCGATAACAGCGTTTTTATTCTTACGGGTGGGGTTGCTAACCTCACGTTCAACGTTCCCTTGTTACCGGCCTTACTATCAGCTTAGCAAGATTTTTGAGTACATCAGCCTCCGTTAAAGCACCAGCCTTCTTGTGGTGTCCGGGATGCTCTTGTCCGTCGTTGAAAATCTGAGCCAAACATGTCGTCCTCATATCCGTCGCAGGGTCTCCAAGGTGAAAATCCTCTGGCAGTTGAACAGTGTAGGTAAGGGAAGTCGGCAAATTGGATTTGTAACTTCGGGAGAAGGATTGTCTTTGGAGGCCGACATCAGATACGTGTTGGTCCAGTTGGAGGCTGGTTTCTTTGCTTCTTTGTTTTTCGGTGCGCATTGTTGTGGAGTTACTGGACTCTGATTGTGATCGATTGTGGACGATTTCAGCTGTTAGTGTGGTATGGCTGGCAATGCCTGCGTTGCGTCATTGTCTGACGCGCAGTGGTTAACTCAGAACTGCCACGGAGCAGGGCACTTCTACTGTCTATTTAGAACAAAGTATTGAGATGCAATCTGATTTCTGCCTAGTGCTCTGAATGCCAAATTGAAGCTTGCTGACTACTGTACATATTGTAGTAAACCGATTATATGAACTAATAACTGGCATTTGTAAGAGTTTCTTCAACATGTAGGTTGAGAGAGCGCTTTAGCTAAAGGATCCGTGTTGGCTGCTCCTGTTATGTGCATTCCATTTTCCACATTCATGATTGTGTCCATTGTTTTTAGTTATAATGATTTGCCATTTCCCTAATTTTCGTAAAGATTCTTATCGATATTTAACTCAATTCGGACTTTCCCATTGATTATAGTTAAACCGAAGTTCTCGGCTTCAGATTGACAAGGCGACTTCTTGTGCAGATGCTTCAATGATGTCTGATTATTTAAATTGAAATAGATTGGTTGATGGTGACTGCTAGCGGAATTCAGGACAACTCGCATTTCGTCCTATTTGGGAATTTCGGATAAGGCTTTCGTGTGGATTCCACCGCCAGTCACTTTCCACTAATTTACTTCAGATTAAATCCCCAGAAATCATTGAAGCATCCGAACAAGGTGTCAACAGAAGTCGAGCACTTCTATCCAATCGGTTAACGAGAAAGTCGAAGTTGAATCAAATAATTACCTGTACCCGTTGCACAAGACGTAGCTGTCATAGTCCAAGTGGTTCACTGTATAACCCATTGGCGTTTGGAACTGTGGATACTGGATTCAAGTCTGAGTGGAAAAACCATCGCTCACTCACTGGGGAATGCAGGTGCATCTAGCTGACGAACCCTGAACAGGACGAAAGGTGCATACTGGATCCCACAGCTGGTCATCATTCAACAATTTAATTCTTATCGTCAGACCTCCTGACGTGGCTCAACTGACCAGTCAAACACTTAATAGAATGATTTAATTTCATCATTGCAGTGTTAAGTGTAAATAAGATCTATCCTGCGTTATGTGTGGTAGCATTTCATCCAACCAAACTACCTACCCTACCTGGGAAGCATAGTTTCAACTACAGGCGGACGGAATTGATAAGGATATCAAAGCGAGGATCGCGAAAGCAACGCAAGATTTCATTTCTCTCAAGTGTGTGTGGAGGAGACCAGCAGCACTCAGCACGAGAAATAAGATCCGGATTTTCAACTCAGTGCTACCTACTGTACGGATCAGAGACTTGGCGCCGTGTCACGAAGGCCACTTTGAACAAACTACACACCTTCATCAACAGCTGTCTTCGCTCAGTCTTCGCTCAAGATCAGATGTCTGGCCAGAAAATATCAGCAACAGGGATCTCCAGGAGTGAGTCAACCAGGACCAATTGTGCAACAAATATGCAGGAGGAAATGGAGGTGGATTGGCCATACTGTAAGAAAACAAACCCTCAAGTGACATCACACGCCAGGCTATCGCTCGAGTGGAATCCGAAGGGGAAGCGGTGAGTTGGTCTTCAGTGCGAGAGTGATATGGAGGAGGTGATGTAAGGAGGAGTCGAGAGCATTTAGTCAGACGTGGAGCCAGGTGAAAAGGTTGGCAGAGAAGCGAACGCAACGGAGACGTTTTCCTGAAGCCTTATGTTCCTCTAGGAATTAAAGGAAACAATAATAATAATATAATAAACATCATTTCATATGTGGTTAAATGCTCTTCGTTAATTTCATTTTCTCTCTCTCTCTATCTTGTATTTCAAGTGAAATTATAGCATCGACTATGCAACAGATTGTTCAACTAGACGCCACTCTATCCGCTTTACTTATCCCACCTGGATTATGCGCTCAAGCTATGGTTCTGTTTGAACCACTTCAAAAAGATCCTGAATTAGACAGAGAATGGAGTGAACCTGAAGCTCTATTTCTACGTTGGTGGGGTACTGTGAAACGATTACGTGAAAACTATTTTCACTCTTTGAAAGCGTTGTACTATCAGATTTAGATTTTTGTAATACAGCACATGTAGAACAAGGAATGTGGAAATCTGTATTCTATACGGTGTTGGAATCACTTCGTTCATGGATTGAAAATCCACAGTCAACTCAGTAAGTGTTTGTTTTGGTTAATAATTCATGGTTGTTTTTGTCATTTCTTTGCGTCCTGAGTGGAACATAGGGCTTCGCGTTCGAGGTCTTGAAATTCCAGTAGTCGTATTGTGTTTGGTTTACGGGATGGGATTGCTAGCCTCACGCCAAACCTTCCCCCCTCTTTCCGAACCTACTATCCAGCTAGTAAATTTGGTGAGGGTTACGGAGTGCGCTGACCGGGAATCGAACCCGAGACACACGCGTGGTTGGCGAGCGTTTTACCACTGAACCACAGCCGCACTTAATTCATTCATGGTTAGTAATACTGAGTTGATGAGAGTTCGGTAAATGTTGGCCGATTTCAGACCTATATATACGTTCTAAATTCTACCACTATGTGATGCATATTTAGGGTAACTGCCAGCCAGTCAAAGGTGAATAACTGTCCTCTCGCCTGACCTGCTGGACGCCTCTGGTTACGACTTCTCACTGTGGAGAAGCCCAGGTAACTTCTTTTATAGGGGCTATCGCTATTGCACGTCAAATTAATTATCACGAGCTGGCATGAGTTAAAGAACCATTAGAAAACTTGGAAGTACCGGTTAACTGTTTCGTCCTAATTTGGGAAGCCTCATCAGTACAGTACACACCCACCGCCAGGGTTCGAACTCAGGACCTACCGAATTCGAGGCGAGCTCGTAAGGTCTAGCAAGCCAGCTAAGGGACAGTTACTCACCTATGACACTGACTGGCAGAAGTTGGAATTCATGGATGATTGGATCCAGCATCAGTGGCTGAATCGTCTACGAGCTTGCTTTGTATCCGATAGGTGCCGCGTTCCAACCTCGATGGTTGCTTACTGGATGAATTGGATTTCCTTTCAGCAGTGGTCAAATGGTCAACAGGCTTGCTTTATAAATTAAACGCACTAGATTCGATCCTTTATGGGGTCATGAGGATGCGTCCTGTTGAAGTGTCACAAACTAGGATGTCTTGTAGCTGTCTAGCACTCCTTGGTTCTCAGGGTTTCTCTAACTACTACCAGTTTGTGATGTAACTTGTTATGAATCAAACCCCTGTAAACCAACATTTTTGAAAAGTGAAAGTATCTGACTGGTCAGGTGCAGATAGACAGAGGGTGGAGAGGTATGAGATATTATTATGAATCACAGTTGAGTTACATCATGATAAATGGTTAGTTATTTGGAAGAGAACTACAAAATGAATAATAATACTAGTGGTGAAATGAGTTAAAGTAATCATACTGACAGCAGGTAGCATTAACGAAAGTCTTAGATGAAACATAGTGACAGTTAGTGAAGTAAAAAACGCTACCACGAATTAATTGAGTCCTGGACATGGTACATTATGACCACTAAGAAATGTGTCAAAGCATGCGATTATAGTTTACCACACTGATTATTGTTTTGTAGTTTTTTTTTTAACGATTGACATACTGTCCGGACGCCAAGACTTAAGCTGATGGTTGCCTTCAGAAACTACCCTAGAACATTTGAGTTGAAATCTGATCTACAAGACAGTGGATCTACGTTCTCGTGGTTACTGGTGACCAAACGAGGTGTATACTCCATTGAACTCCTTCGAATTCTCGAGTTCATGTACCAGTTCCCCTAGGTCTGTCTGTCTGTCTCTGTCTGGATTCAACATAGAACTTGGCACCGAAGTGCACCAGTTCGAGTTGCCACGTTCCAAATAGCCCACAGAGGTAGACAAGAAGATGAATGAAGAGAATTAGTAGAGTTTGACAAGTATAAGAGTGAAACAGAATGGGTAATGGTAGAAAGGAATATGAAAGATTACAGAGACTGAATACATCTGCGCTGGCCATTGACAACGATTTTGAGCCATGTCACCTATTGTCTCCAGCCATTGATTCCTAGAGTCCCGAGGGCCCCAACCCGGAAGTCTTCATCTCCCTCCCTACCTGACTCAGTTTAACTGTCAAGGATTTGATGGATTGATGAGGCCATGTTTTTATTTGGCCACCACTTACCCTTTTCCAACCTTCACCTATATCAGCTAGCAATGCCCGTCGGGGGAGGCGATGGTTAGGCAAGCGCACCACGTGACCTAGCCATCTCAGTCTATGTAACTTTATAGCCTCGTCGATTGATTTTCCCTCTTTGCCCAACACTACCCCCAACGTCAACATTACTTACCTTATTATACCACCTAACGTGAGACAGAGATCGCAGACATCTATGATCGAAAGCAGTCAACCTTTTCATGTCTTCAACGCGTATTGGCCATGTTTCAGAGCCATAGAGAAGGACGGAGCGGACTGCTGAGCAGTACACACGTCCCTTGGTTGATAACCGGATGTCACGCCTACGCCAGAGATGGTGTAAGTCAGCGAAAGCAGCTCGAGCTTTTCGGATCCGTGCTGAGATTTCATCGCCAATCAGTCCGTTGGTGCTAATACAACTTCCCAAATAGGTGAAGTGGTCAACATGTTCTATCACTTCACTCCCTATCACTAAGTTAGGGGTTGACGTGGTCCAGTCCTGTAGCAGCATCTTACATTTTGTAGGGGCGAATCGCATGCCAAACATACGAAGATTGCTGCTCAAGGTGTTCAGAAGACTGCATTTTGTCAGCATCCTCCCCTAACAGGACTATGTCATCTGCATATTCTACTTATTCTACATATTTGGTTCCCCTAGGTGAAACTGTATGTCCACTGGTCTGGTAGTAAGCACCATATACGTCTGCATTCACCCTCTCACTTTTATGAAGCACCCCCCTGCGGTGTGAAGGCAATAAATGCGTGGGCGCATGACAGCTTTTCATGAGGAAGACCTAAGTCTACTCACACTGTGTCGGGCATACCTAGTCGTCAGTGGGTGGTGGCTCATTAAATCCAGTTTTATTATTAATTTTTGCTTGCTTCTAATTTTCAAAATTTGGATTAGTCGAAATGTTAAGAGAGGTGTTATTAAAGAGATGTGTCGTACACATAAGAATTTCAGGGATTTACCATTGCTTCTTGGACTAATCAGCTGTTTTTTACCCTCTTTGTTTACATGAGTGTTTTGTAGTCAGTCTTGAAGTATTTTACTTGTTTTTTTTTCACCGACTATTCTTGATTTTATCTCTGGAGATGATTACCTGGTAATAACTCTTAATCAATCAAGGCATCCTCGATATTTTGACATGAAGTCTATTTCAAGTAAATATGATACGCCTTGTGAAATTTAAGCTTGCTCGTTTTTACTGTTATTACTATTTTTTTGATTATAGCTTGATTTCACACCGTATTTTTTTTACAAGTATAGGATTTTCAGCATGTGATATCGGTAGCCCAAATTTCGCAGGCCCACGAAGTGATATTAGGTGTGCGTTGGCAGGGGATCGAACATGAGCTGTGTATGGTCGGCGGGAGTCCTAACCTCTGTGCCGCCGACGCATAGAACACTATACAATGGCTACTGCTTAATTCTGCAAATATTCGTAAATATTAAATAAGCAAAATTACTTCTGTACCACATTTAGGGAATGGAATATGTATAATTTTACCATCGATTACATTGAGTTGGTCACTCAGGAGTGAACAGTATAATAATACCTAGTACTGGCTAAATTTCTTCAGTCAAGTGTGCGATGTGGTCTTTAAGCTAAGTGGAATCTTCATTAGTTCGAATCCGCCCACCTATTTCTGTAGTCACATACGTTACAAGTAAACTATTCATGCATTGGTTGACGTGGGTTCCGACCTCTGTGGAGATTGTAAATACGCCCTTCTGATGAGGTCCAATAGGTGTGAAATCTAGGTCGTCATACACAGAGTACCCTAGTGACTACCTTTAACCATCTAAAAAAATACCACATCACATTGTGGTGGTGTGTACATAAGTCAGTCAGGTGTGACGGTAACCACTGTGCTTATAAACACTGCATGATTCTCAGAGTTACAGAGCATGAAACCCTCAATCTAGGGCTTCATGTACATTTCTTTCGATCACATACATATTTATCACATAAATGAATGAACCAAATTTGATGATAAGCACTGATTATCGTCTGTGTAGGATCCTCATGATAATAGATTGATTTGAATCAATCTTCTATTTAGCGTCTCAATCCACAAGACATACTTAGGACTCTACAATAAAAGTAGCCTTATAGTTGATGGAAACTTTCAAAACTTCAGCCATTCTATGTGTTACAGGATTTCATCATAAACTGATATCGGTTAGAGAACTATTGAAAGCCACGGAATACTGAACAGCTTCTGTGTCCGAGTTTAGGACTCGTCGGCAGTGCGCAGCCACTGGGTTTGAGCTCAGGATTTTTCTATTACTAGGCGAGCTTGTAGAGCATTAACCCATTGGCCCGTAAATTCCAACTTCTAACAATTCACGATATAGCTGGACGACTAGCTAATGTCATCCGTGGCGAGTATTTGTCTTCACACCCCACTCGCTGTACCCCATTGGTCACTAATTCTCACTAGAACTTGAATAACTACCTAACTGAATACGGTCAGTTGCTAGTGAGCATCAGATGAATATTCGAGTATTAGTTTTCAGGGATTTGATTTGATTGGTTACAGGATTTCATCATGAGCTAACATCGGTTAGAGAACTGTGTTGGAAAACCAACCACCAGGGAGTACCGGGCGGCTGTTTCGTCCTAGTCTTGGGACTCCTCAACAGTGCGTACCCGCTAGGGTTCGATAGAATGTGTGATATTATAATTCTTTATTTCATTCATCCTTCTACTCACGGAATAGACACATTGGATCATAGGAGTTATTAAGAAGACAATTGCAGCGAAGAAAATTTTCTTTTCGACGAAGTCAGCATCATCTAGGCTGTATATTCGTGTATTTATATCAGATGGATGGGAAAGTTCCAGAATAATGATTTCCGGTTAAAGGGTCAAATTAATAAAAATTACAATTAGGAATTAAAATGCCATAATAAACAGGGAGAGGGACGGATAAAACTCAAAGTAGCATCATAATTAATAAGGAGATTGACATTGTCCAACTCGGGGTTAGAAATGTAGAAATAACAACAATAGACAGGATGTTTGGATAAAAAACCCAATGTGATGAATAATTGTTTATGCAGTTAGTGATTAAATATGTAGAAATAGTAAAATGACAAAATAAACACGAAGTTCGAGTATGAAAATATCGTAGTGTAAACAGGGATTAAGAAAAACTTTAAGAAATAATTTACAAAAGAAAGAAAGAAAGTAATATACAAAATTCGATCAAACCTATCAAAGGGAGTGAAATTAAGACATCTGGGTATGGCCAGGGCGCTAGCTATCCAAAAGCTCATAACCAGGCTTTGTATCCAAAATAAATACGCCCAACCCTGGTCCCTGCCATGGCCATCATAAACACGTAATTTTTTAGTAATGACCATCCCATCACCTTTCTTATTTAAACTTCCTGTTTATTCATGTTATTTTAAAGTTTTTCTTAATCCCTGTTTACACTACGATATTTTCATACTCGAACTTCGTGTTTATTTTGTCATTTTACTATTTCTACATATTTAATCACTAACTGCATAAACAAATATTCATCACATTGGTTTTTTTATCCAAACATCCTGTCTATTGTTGTTATTTCTACATTTCTAACCCCGAGTTGCACAATGTCAATCTCCTTATTAATTATGATGCTACTCTGTTTGAGTTTTATCCGTCCCTCTCCCTGTTTATTATGGCATTTTAATTCCTAATTGTAATTTTTATTAATTTGACCCTTTAACCGAAAATCATTATTCTGGAACTTTCCCATCCATCTGATATAAATACACGAATATACAGCCTAGATGATGCTGACTTCGTCGAAAAGAAAATTTTCTTCGCTGCAATTGTCATCCTTCCACCTTGATATTATAAGGGAGTAAAGTATAAGCGACTTAAACTACAAGTCTGTAATGTCTTACGTCCTATGCTAAGAATACATATATCTCTTTAATAATTTTATGATTCTAATTTCTAATTTTCATTTCCTTTATATTTACAGATTAATTCCAAAGTTGCCAGACAGAGATCAAGAGACCGCAAAACTTCTTGAAAGCCAGTTAACTAGTCTTATTCGCAAAATATGTCTCACTGAAGTTATCGACTCAGGAACAAATCAGTTGACTACACTTCTTGAAAATATACAAAATCTTCATCATATTCAATTAGCTCCACTCTTATCGGATGGCCGACCTCCACCGGAGACAAAATCACGAACACGTCGTTTAGTTTATTTAAGTGCACAAAAGTTAATGTTATTCCTTGGTGATCTAGCACGATATAGAGAAATGTTACTTGGTGAAAGAAATTTTGGTAAAGCTCGAAAGTAAGTTTTCTAATGTTGTCTGTCTGTCTGTCATTGCTTTTTCTTTTTGGCTCATACGTTATTATTATTTTAAAAGAAATTATCACACGTGTACACAGGTGATGCAAAGATATCTTAACCACTAACAACAACAACAAGCGTCAATGACCATCAGAAGAGAAATTTGGAGGAAGTTATCTCTTTGACTTAATGAGGCAGCATTGTTTCAGCTGACGACTACAGACAACAGCACAGATTGGGATGTCAAAGCCAACCAGGATCGGAAAAACAAGACAGGGTCGTATCAATCTTAAGAACAAGATTCGGATCTTCAAGACTGATGTCAAATCAATTGGTCAGTGATTCTATATAGTTCACAAACTTGGCGTGTGTGTCATCAAATGCATTTCCAATTGGCCACTGCAGGATTTCATTAACAGCTGGTTCTTGTGGCTTCATACTGAATGGCCAGTCGGAAAGGATAGACAATAGGGAGCTCTGGTAACGAACCAATGAAGAACCTATTGCTCAACAAATAGGTAGAAGGAAGCAAGGAGATAGATTGGACGTATGCTGTGCTAAGGAGACCACTCTGAATAAAATCATGTGCCGGGCAGTCAGTCAAGTGAAACCCGAATCTGAAACGATGAATTGGGCGTTGGTCTGAGGGTAACATGGAAGAGATCATTTGAAGAGAGAATGAAGGCCTATGGACAACCATAAGGCCAGCTGAAGAGAACTACAGAGAACAGGGAAAATAGAGATGTGCTGTTGAAGCCCATGTTCCACTGGAAACTTAAGGGAATCATAATAATAAGGAACATATATAAAGTTATTTGAGTTGGTATTTCACTGGTTGGATTGCTGACCAACCACTCCGGAGGCTTGAGTTCGATTCCCAGCAGACACACTATTTAAACCTTGCCTAGATTACTAGGCCGTAGTGTGATGAGAGCTGTCTGCAAGATAAAATTGTAGACAACAATTTACGTCAATGTTTACGTCCTGAATTGTGATCATGAGTAAAAACAATAACAAAGCTTACCTTTGAAGAACTCACCAACCAATCACAGCAGACTTATATTTTTTATTATTCCCTTGAGTTCTGAGTAGAACATAGGAATGACTTCAACAACACATCTCCGCCTTATTCTTTTTTCTGTCGTCCTCTTCATCTGGGCCCACCATTGGCCAAACTCTCTCACTTCTACCTCACACGATCTTCTCACTCACTTGTCGCTTCCCATTTGGATTCCACTCGAGAGATGGTCTGCATTGAGCGCGATATCATTCGGTGACTTCCTCAATGTATGCCAGATCCATCTCCACTTTCTCGTACATATTTGTTGAGCGATCGGGTCTTGCTTGTTGGTTTGTTCCCCCCCCCCCAGTTTCTTGTTACCTGTTCTTTCTGACCACTTGATCTTCAGTATGGGTTATCTTCATCACCTGGAATCCTGTCTTCTCTGGCTGCCTCTTCAGCCAGTTTGTTGGTTTTCGCTTGCAAGTCTTCAGGTTTGTGTGACATTAGACATATATCATCCACGCGAGAAATCCAGATCTTCTAGAGTCTTCTTGCCGTGATCCAGCGTATTCCTGTCTCCTCGCTCTCTGCAGTTTGATGCGTAATCCATCCCACTACACTTAAGAACATCATCGGTGATAATATGCAGGCCGCCCTGTCTTACTCCTGTACTCACTTCGAACGCCTAGGTAAGTTTTCTGCTGTGGATTACTTGACATGTGGCACTTTCAGATAGATGTTGAATGAGGTTGATAAAGACTTGAGGTACGTCGTAGTGTTGAAGTAGTTTCCAAATTACTTCTTGGTCTACACCGTTGAAGACTTAACGTGTTCAAATACAATTCGCAGATATATGGCCCGACTTTCCAAGAAACAGCCACAAAGAGATGACAGAATAACCTTCAGCAGGAAAACAACCAACTAGAAGACGTTGCTTCTCTGCTAACAATAACGACTAATAATGTACATAAAAATCTATAAACATCTTTTGATTTTCTCAGTAAACGATCTGTTGCCTGACCCTTGTCTTCACAGTAGTATCGACGAATAAACGAGGAAGAGTTCTATGTGAGGCTAGTAACCTCATCCTGTGAAGACACTATCACTACTACTAATAGAACTCTAAAGTTTTGAAGCCCACTGTCCCACTCGAAACTATATCGGTCTTTCTTCTGATGATTATCTCTTTTGAATGAGTTGTTTTTATGACTATTTGTCCCCAGTGTCATACAGCGACATGGGAGTGATGCTAGAAGGTGGAGTACAATAGGAATGCACCATTGGAGCCCTTTGTTCCACTCGAAATGTAAGGAATGAATACTACTACTAATAATAACACTCCTTTCTTCATGAGAGGATAAATTTCTGATTTCCAAGTATTGGTTTTGTAGGGATTTTGTTTGATTGCATGTTTGATTGCAACTCATCGAAGAAGACATTGCGAAGTGGTCGCGCAATGTCATGAACTGGCAGAAGTTAGAATTCAAGGACTATTGGATCGGGTCCCAGTGGCTCAATGGTTTACAAGCTCTCTAGAATTGTAACCAGAAGGTCCTGGGTTCGAACCCTGTTGGTGGGTGCGTACTGCTGAAGAGTCCCAAACTAGGACGAAACAGCTTTCCAGTACTCCCAGGTTTTCCAGTGGTTCTCTAACTGATGTCAGCTCATGATTAAATCCTCCATGCAATCAAATTTCTGATTCACACTCATATAAACTAGGTTGTAATACAACTACTCTCACTGATCTTTTTTGTTTGCATTGACCTTAATATTAGTTTCTTGAAAAAAATAGGAAGTGTTAAATAAATCAAATTACTTATATTCCGCCTATTATTGTCATAGTAACCATCAACACGTTGTATCTGCATTTAAACAACGCTAGGGCATAAGGATTTATCGGTTTCAGTATAAAACTACTCAAATAATTGTTGCTATTTTCCTTATTTATTTGACATTGTTTTAATAAGTACTAATAAAATCTGCAGTTTTAATTCATTAATTTATTATTTTTATAATAATAATAATTGTTATTATTTTAACTAGCTGGTATCAGAAGGCTCAACTCTTAATACCTAAAAATGGTCGTTCGTATAATCAGTTAGCTGTTTTGGCTTTGTATACAGTAAGTGCCTTTTTCTTTTTGTATATACTCTTGTATTTATGTATGTATGTATGTATGTATGTGTGTGCTCGACATCTCTGAAATTAATTTATCATTTCAGCTATTGTGAAGTTGTTGGTTTATCTCAGTTGTTCAGAATATATGAATATGTATGTGTATAATAGACCGTTTGTGGTGTAAGTCCATTTTAATCTCCCACTTAACTGATTGTGAACTCCTACATGTTTGGCCTTTGTTGATACATACCTTCTTCTAGTACGCAGACAGTTCACTGATGTCTGAGGATTTACATGAGGTCATTTAGTCAATAGTGGTGACTAGCAGTGGAATCCAGGATGCACACTTCGTCATATTAAGAGTTTGTCATTTGGATGTACCTGCATTCCCCAGTCAACAACATTCATATTTCAAGATTTTCAACATGGATTAATGTCAATTAGAAGAGAACCATTGAAAACAAGTAGAGAGTACTGAAAAACTGTTTCGTCCTAGTTTGGGATTCATCCTCACTACTCACCCACCAACACGGTTTGAACCCAGAACCTTCCAGTGACAAGACGAACTCGTAGACCATTAATCCACTGGGACCTGAGTCAATGGCCAATCCATGAATTCTAACTTCTACCTGTTCGTAATGCATTTATAGTGCAACTGGCACCAGCCGAAGTCAATGGCTGAGAGTATTTCTTCTCACTCCCGATCAGTTGAATTGAACCCTATTGGTCACAACTTTTCACTAGAACTTCGTCTTGCAGCCAGCCAGTTACTGACAAGCATTCATATTTATTTTCAGGTTAACTTCGCATTTCTTGTTGTGATTATTGATTATTGAAAACATATATCAATATATCTATATCAATTTGCCGTTCAAAGCAGATGACGTACAGGAAGTAGTGAAAAGAAGACTCGACAAAGCCATCAAGAGAACTTATTATGCTGCAAAACTTGTTATCCTTAACACCACCAAGCGAGTGCTTCAACAATCTGGTAAAGACCAGTCGCCAATCCTCGATACTTCAGACTGCATATATCAATTTGAGTGTGTTTGTGGCAGCAAATACATAGGTCGTACGGAAAGGCGATTGTCTACTCGCATGATGGAGCATTTGCCAAAATGGTTGAAAACAGCTGAGTGCAAAGTGCCAAAATCCTCAATAACAAAACATCTCGTGGATTACGGACATGATATCGACGCGGTTAAGTCATTCACTATTGTCAGCAAACAAAGAAACAAGAAGATGCTTGCAATTGCAGAAGCTTGTGCAATTCGAGTTTATAAACCAGCTCTCTGTATACAAAAGGAGATGGTAGTGACTCTGAATCTACCATGGTAATACATTTTATTATTCTCTACTGTTATTACTACTATTCTTCTTCTTCTTCTTCTTATTATTATTGTTATTATTATTATCATTATGAATATTATTCTCAATTCATTTAAAACTATCCTTTATCAGTAAGATTATCTTAACTCACTTCAACACTATTATTATTATTATTATAACTGTTACTATTGTTATTAGTGTGTTTGCAATTCTCGTTATATTCCATGATGACTGATTGCTTATCTAAGTGATGTAATTGAAGCGTAATGCAATTTATCTTAATTTTGATCTCTCATACTCTCTCTATTTGAACATGATCTGGAAAGCATTCGAACCTGTCTTTCTGCATGACTAATTCAATGTAGGTTGTTTACTTATCAGTCTTATATCTCCCAATGTAATTTCAAAAGGTGTATATATCCGTGTATGTAGAGTATTCAGCTGATTCATCCTGGATTCCACTGCTTAGATTCTATTACCAAGCAGATTAACAACATTTTTGTTAATATATGTGTAAAACTTGGGCACTGTGGTAGTGAGTAATTCCACATTACTTTGTTTATTAGATGTATCACACAGTGAAACAGTATTATTTACTGGATAAAAAGGTTTCGAACACAATTCATTATTGTTCATAATCATATCAATTTTATTGATGATATGATTATGAACAATAAATTGGTTCGAAACGTCATCCAGTATACAATACTGTTTCACTGTGTGATACATTTAATAATCAAACTAATATGGAACACATTTTTGGTTGAATCAAATTATTTTTTGCTGTGTTATTTATGCTCCTCTTGTTTGTTCTTTTAAATTTATTTATTTGTTATAGTCCAGGCATTTAGATGCAATGTTTTACTATATGCGCACACTTGCCGCAAGTAATCCCTTCGCTACAGCATCACAGAGCTTATCAGCTCTATTCAATGAAATACGTCCACGTGCACAGAATATGATTATGCAGGTATGTTAGACAATCTGATTACTATGATTATTCTTATTGTAACATGCAACTATACTATTTTGGGATAATTTTGGGTTATGTTACGAAGGGAGGGAGTCTCAAACTATTGATTGTTAATATCAGAAGGATACTAGGTGTGAATAAATGAATGAATGAATGACTTACATCCCTAACCTACATGATTCAGACTGAGAAAACCATCAAGTGACATTACGCTCCAGACTCTTGAGTGGAACCCGAACGGGAAGCGACGAGTTGGTCGTCAGTGCGAGGATGACATGGAGGAGAAGGTCATGCGAAAAGGAGATGAAAGCATGTGGACAGACGTGGAGATAGGTGAAAACGTTGGCTGAGAACCGAACGCAATGGAGACGTATGGCTGTGAAGCCTTATACTCCTCTAGGAACTAAAGGAGAGGTGATAATCATATGACTTGGTTGCCATGTTTTGATGTGTTAAACGCTTAATGTTTTGGAAGATAAGCCAACTTTAACGCTTCGTACACCTTGTGAGCAAAAATGCTGACAAGATTGTATGACATCCATATTAGTTATTCCATACAGCCAGTTCTCTTTATTAATCTGATTAAAGGAAGTTTCGGTTCTCCTCAATTGCGTACACATCGTAAACAAAATCAATTACCACTCACAAAGCTTTTGAACATACCGTTAATAAAAATGTCGAGTTCTCGATAGAAAGTACTATATATATATATATATATATATATATATATATATATATATATATATATATATATATATATATATATATATATACTATACTAATAATCCTTTGGGTTTCAAGTGGAACATAGGGCTTCAACAACACACACGACCTACTCGTCGTTTCCCACTCGAGCAATGGCCTGGATCAGGCACAATGTCATTCGACGGCCTCTTCAATGTCATACCCGATTCATCTCTACTTTCTCCTATATATTTGTTGAGCGATTGACTCTTGGTTGATTTGTTCATCGCCAGAGTTTCTTGTTACTAATTCTTTCTGACCATATGATCTTCAGTAAGGAGCGAAGGCAGTTTTTGATACAAGTCTGCAACCTGTTGCAAATCCTTTTCGTAACACGTCAAGTTTCTGACTCGTATAGAACAACCCACTGACTTTTGTGTTGAAAATTCGAATCTTGTTCTGGCTGAGTTTCAGGTTGATGAGTATGTTTTACCCTTCCGATTTCTGGCTGGCTTTAACATCTTCATCCGTTCCAACCGCCTTTGGTTGAAATGATGCTTCCTAGATAAGTCAAGGAAGTAACCTCCGTCAAATTTATCCAATTGATGGTGGTTTATGCCGGTTATTGTTGCTGTCGCGGTTTGTTATCTTCGTCACAACCGTCTTCTATAATATTCACACTGCACTGCTTCTACAGCCAATTTGTCGGTTCTCGCCTGCAAATCTTTCAGTCTGTGTGACGTGACATTAAACAAGAATCATCTGCGAAATCCAGATCTTCTAGAGTCTTCTCATCAGTGGTCCACCGTATTATTGTCTCTCTTTGCTCCCAGTGAATAGTCTGACGTGTGATCCAGTTCTCCACAGTGAAGAATATCATCGGTGATAATAGGCAGTCAGCTTGTCTTACTCCTGTATTCACTTCGAACACCTTGCTGAGTTTTCCATTGTGAATCACCTGGCATTTGCCACGGGATTGATAAGGACTTGGACACTGGACGACCTGCATTTTCGGCAGCCAGTAGATAGGAAGAACTGAGAAGAGAGAAAGTCTACTAGATTTTTTGAGCATATCCCTAAAAATCTCCGTTTGAAAGGGTGGTGGGTGAATAGCAAAGTAAAATTATAAGACAGAAAAAACCATTTAGTTAATTTGAGAACCTAACAGTGAGTTCATCTTATTAAGTGAAAGTAACAATCAAAATTGTTCGGAATGTTATGCAATACAACAAAATATCACTCACAAAATAAATCCTTACAAAACCAATACTTGAAAATTAATCTGATACTCACTAGCGACTGGCCCTATTCAGACAGTTAACCTGGGGTTCTAGTGAGAAGCCGTGACCAGTGGGGTACAGCAGGTTGAAGATGAGGCAGTAACTCATCGAACAAGACATTACGAAATGGTCGCAATATCTCCTGAATTGTCAGAAGTTAGAATTCATGGATCATTGGATCGGGTATCAGTGGCTCAATGGTCTACAAGCTCGCTAGACTTGTAACCAGAAGGTCCTGGGTTCGAACCCTGTGGGTGGGTGCGTACTGATGAAGAGAACCAAACTAGGCTGATGAAACAGCTGTCCAGTGCTCCCAGCAGGTTTTCCAGTGGTTCTCTAACTGATGTCAGCTCTTGATGAAGTCCTCCAACAAATCAAACAAAATCCCTACAAAAGCAATATTTGAAAACATAAAAGCACACGTTCGGCTGCTGATGTTATTTTTTTTTGAAGTAATTGGAGTACATAGACGTAAATATTTTTTAATTATGATTTTTAAACTTCGACTGTTGAAGATCCACAGTGCACAAGTTCTGTTCTTATAAAAGCACATGGACAAAACAATCACGGTTACCAGGGTAATGAGGGATTCGTTTGGGTAAATTATTCCATCTAGCGGTAAGGCATTTAACTTCCCTTTGAATCAAATTCACAATTTACAGCTGTTGTACACACTTTATGGCGGTGAAATTTCACCATGGTTTTCTTTGGAGACTAAATGGTTCAGATCACAGTACGTGATCTACTACACATTGATTGAGGTGAGTAGTAGTGTGGTGAGAGCTGGCTGCGAACAAGCCAAAAATTTGTAGACAGCAGTTTACGTCAATGTTTACGTCCCGAAGCGGAGTCATGAGAAGAAACAACAACAATAACAAAGCTTAACCTTGAAGAACTCACCAACCAATCACAGCGGACTTTGCAAATACGATTCGCAGATATATGGCTTAACTTTCTGAGGAACGGCCACAAGTAGCACAGAATAACCTTGAGCAAGAAAACAACCAATCAGCAGACGTTGCTTCTCCATTGATAATAGTGTACATAAAAATCTATGAATATCTATTGATTTTGTCAATAAACGATCTGTTGCCTGGCCATTGTCTTTTGTGGATACAGTAGTAGTTGTACACCACTCATATCAACCAGTAGTTAGTACTGGCTAAACAGCTAGATCGAGGTAATCTAATCTCCTGACAGCTGGAAATGATTCGGCGCTTTCTGAGCTAAGTAGAACTGGGTACACCTCAGATGAGGTTGACCCCAAAGGAGCGAAACATCCATCCGTTCGGTGTCTAGATAATCCGTATCTGTCTGCTTAGCAAGCACTCCTACTGGTCGATTTGATTGGTATACAACTACTACTCATCTAAATCAATCAGTAGTATATAGTCGTCCGAAAATTAACTTTCTTTTGATGTTCCTTAGTACGTCGCATAATAAGTGGAGATAGAATTTCCAATAAAAAAATGATAATTGCAGTCCTTAAAATTTTTATTTCGTTGATGATGGCTTGCAGTGGAATCCAGACTGGGTATTTCGTCCCGTTTGAGACTCGTCAACTGGATGTATCTGTATCTCCAGTGAGTGATGATTGTATAGTCACTTACACAAAGTACCGAATATTACACAAATTGGGTACGTTATAGGCACGAAGAAAGGCGCCACATAAAATCTCATAGTTTGTGTGGGTCTGGGATAATACCCGAATGATCAGATCGAAGCACAGGGTTGTTGTTTTAAGGTATCACCCTCGAATCTTTGACCTGAAGTCTAATCCTCTAAGTAGTGGGAAAGCGTCAGGAGCTACATTCTTACTACTTCCGGTGTCTGAAACAGGTTCACATACCATTCGATCCTTTGAAATTCTCGAAGTGGTGTTCACCATAGATTTGGAATCAGGGTTTTCTCACCCTCATAGGTAGACCAGCATGCCTCACAGTCCGGTTGCAAGCGTCATAAGTTCACTTTCGCCTTATCATTCTTGTGAGGTCAGTGAATAATAGGACCCCAACGGGTCGATCTCTGATGAAATCTCAGCACGGATTCAGGGGTCTCGTTTTGCATTTGCCAGTTTACGCCGTCTCTGGCGTAGACGAGATATCCGACTATCAACCAAAGGGCGGGTGTACTGCTCATCAGTCCGCTCCGTCCTCCCTTATGGCTGTGAGACCTGGCCACAGAGAGTGGAAGACATGAAAAGACTGTCTTTGATCACAGGTGCCTGCGTTCTATCTCCCGTGTGAAGTAGTATGATAAGGTGAGCAATATTGAGGTTAGGCGTCGAGTTCTATGTAAACAGGGGAAATCAATCGACGAAGTCATGAAGTTACAACGACTGAGATGGTTAGGACATGTGTTACGTATGCCAAGCCATCGCCTCCTGGACGAGCAATGTTAGCGGATATAGGGTCAGGCTGGAAAAAAGCTAAGGCGGTCAAACAAAAACATGGCACCAGTCAATGAAATCCACAACAGTTGGTCTAAGCCACGTAGAAAGGTGTAGACTTCCAGACTGGTTGGGGTCTCGGGACGGTAAAAATCTATGGTTGGAAACAATTGGTGACATGGCTCAAAACCGTTCTCAGTGGCGCAGATGCATCCACTCCTGGTGACTTATGATTTCCAATGAAACTGTTTTTTTCTTCGTTATTACTCTTCTTTTGTCTCACACCTCTGTTTACTGTCTCTATTACGCATTTCTTTTACTTTCTTCTCTTGCTTTGTGTGGTACATGGAGTGTGGCGACTTGAACTGTCGCACATCAGTGCAAAGTTCTATTCGAAAACAGGCAGACAGACAGACAGAATAATAGGACTTACCTGGTAGAGGGTTGAAATCATGGCTACACATGCGATAGCATTTGAGAGCAAGACCGAAGTCTACTCACCTTTAAGGGGTACCGAGTAGGATGTCACGCGCGTCATCCATCTATAAACCACAAAAATCATGTAAAATCAAATTTTTATCTTTGAGTGTTTTTTGAACATTTTGGATTAGAAACGTCGATATATCAACAAAGATACTGAGCATTTCTTTCCCGTAAAATGAATCCAAAACATAATCTTGAAAAGGAATAAAATGAGTAATTTTCATCACTCTCTTACTGTATAATTTTAAAGCTTAATTAATTAATTAATTAATTAATTGCCTTTGTTTCACCACCAAAAACAAATGAATTAGTTTCAAAAGCCAAAATCAGAATCTGTTCAACCACTTTGCTCGGGTTCACTTCGTATAATCCACGATTTCAACGTGCTGAAATCTGGATTCATCCAGTTGATGGTCAGACTACTGTTATTCAAGGTGGACGACGATTAACACATTTAAATCATAAACCACTTACTGATAATCATAATAATAGAGGTTATAATACTAGTGGGATCAATCACAAGGGTAAACCTGGATCAAAGTCAACTGCCGAACAGTATCAACAATCTGCTGATGCTGCCGCTGGCGCTGCTGATAATGAAGATGAGGATGATGACGAAGAAGCTCAAGCAGAAGCTGAAGAATATGCAAATATTTCATTGATTGAGGTAGGTGATGTCTTTTTCTGTCTCTCATTCTTGCTATTGCCTTTTATTTATTTATTTTTTTGATTACAGCTTGATTCCACACCGTATTTTTGGTACAAGTATGGAGTTTTCAGCATGGGTATCGGTAACCCAAATTGTGCGGGCTGACCATAGATATCAAGTGTGCGTCGACAGGGGATCAAACCTCGGACCATGTGCGCATGGTCGGCGAGAGTCCTAACCACTGTGTGACACCGACGCACACTTTGGAGTGTTTTGTTTCGGAAATCATTACTCCTAGTGCCTAGTTAGTCAGTTTAGTTAGAAGTTATGTACATGGAGCAGAATATTAATGTATCAAGTCATGGTGAGCGTCGATGTTTCAGCAGTAGGAACGCTCACCAACAACCCGCTCACTCCTAAACCACTCTACGCTGTTGTAACGGCAGAAGGCAAGACACGAAAGCCAAAAGTATGTTTTCTCCAAGTGATCAAACAGCCATCTATATCTATACGTTTTATACTCTTTAACTAATCATTGAGTGTGTGATTTTAGTTTACATGAAACGACATGAAATAGAATGTTCAAGTAGATGTATCGTTTTCTGTTGCTAATGCAGCTAATGCTAATGTGAGCATAATATTCCGTTGGAACACACATTGTCTGTGTCACACCACCACAGAGTATGACTCTCCCCTGAACCTTTAATCGATCGAATATGTCAATCTAAATTAAATGCTAAAATATTGATTTTTCTATTCACTTATGCTTGATGACATTATCACTTGATAAAAGGAGATCATCTTACGGCTAAGTTAAACTTTAAGCACCACTGACTACCAATAGAGTGCAACCGCGCACCAATGACCGTGAAACGCTCACTGAGCAAGTTAGGGAAGCCTGGCAAATAATGTTGTCATCATCATTAAAATATCCCCATCTTAGTGTCATGCTATTAAATGGGATACGTGGCAAGTTCCAGCTTACGTTTGGGAAAGATTAAGTTACTCTTTAAGCCAAGAACAAGTTAGGATTAGGTTAACCTAATGTAGGCGACATTAGGGTTGATTCAATTTGGATTACAGTTAGTTTAGGGATATTTTCACTTCAGGGTTAGGTTCAAGAAAGATTAGGGTTATTGTTAGGGTTAGAAGACCTAAATAATTACATGCATAGAATGTGGTTAAATTACTCCGTTGATATAAGAATAGAACTTGTACACTGTGAAAGAGTATAATTCCATTGTGGGTAACATTTATTTTGATAAAGTCTCACAGTTTTATACAGTAATATTTACTGATGGCCACGTTTCGAGCACAATTTATTGTTCAGGAAATATTACTGTATTACACTATGAGACTTTATCAAAATAAATTTTACCCACAATAGAATTATACTTTGTTGATACCTCAGCCTAAAACTGAGAGCTATTCTGATCACATGTGAGAAGAAGGTATCCTCTGTAACGCTTTTCTACAGGTTTTATGCATTATTTTGATAAATGTATGTATTCCATACACAAAAATGCCTCCTTCACGTGATTGTGGAGTTCGAGGTCATTCGCTGATTGGTAGTTAGTAGTGGTGCTTAAAGTTTAAATTTGCCCATCTTACTAATTGAGCTCAACTAACTCATCACCAATGTGCGTCGGTGGCACAGTGGTTAGCAGTCTCGCCGACTATGCACATGGTCCGGGGTTCGTTCACCTGCCGATGCACACCTGATACCAATGGTCGGCCTGCAAAATCGGGCTACCGATATCACATGCTGAGAATTCCATACTTGTACCAAAAATACGGTGTGTGAATCAAGCTATAATCAAAAATAATAAATAACTAGATAAAATTTCGTTCAATTGATAATTCCTAATATATTGATTAATGTTAGAACGTTTGGTTCTCCTTCAAAATATCTTGTCATTACGCTTTCCCTCTTTTTCTTGAAGGAACTTTACCTGGAATTTGTCTCGTTATGCTTGTACTACTGACAGGATAACATTTCAATTCATCTATACAATACGACGATTCCTCGTAACAATTGCTGTTCGACTTTTAATTTCTCCAACAGACTAAATGACGCGTAACGTGTATCATTGATTCACTAGACTGACTGATTGACTGACTGACGGAATGAAATACTCTGATGACAATTGTTTTGTTGTTCTCTTGTGTCTGTGTGGGTGTGTATTTTCCTAATATGGTTGATTATTTTCCCTTCTCTTCTTCTCTCTCTTTTTATTCAGTTGAGCAAACAATTCGGTTTGGCATTCATACATGCTCATGGTAAATTGTATACAAAAATGGGTAAGTTGTAGTACTTATCGTTTTGCTATATTGTCATGTCTGAGGAATAAAAGTCTGAGGGTTGTTCGCGTCAGGATTCGAACCACCAACCTATGAATTGTCAGCGTCCGTTTCTCTCTACAGACAAACACCCATAAACTATTCATGACTATTTCGTGAATGGTCTCATCCATCACCGATTAACCAGCTGGTAGCACCATGCCTTCCAACTATGTATGTGATTAGGAATGAGGTGTGGGGGGTGGGGGAAAGAAGGCCGTTACTTGGTAGCCAGTTTCTTTTTAAAAATCTTTGTTTCCTGTGCTTTGAAGTTTCTGTAGTGATTGGATTGATTTTCCGGGAGGGGGGTGTATAGGGTCGTTTTGCAATGATGATCACTTTATTCATACACACTGAACGAAACGACTTAGGAATCGAATTGTTACCAAGGAACTTAGAATATGCATATGACATAGTCCTGTTAGGGGAGGATGCTGACAAAATGAAGAGTCTTCTCAACACCTTGAGCAGCAATCTTCGTATGTTTGGCATGGGATTCGCCCCCATGAAATGTAAGATGCTGTTACAGGACTGAACCACATCAACTCCTAGCTTAGTGATAGGCAGTGAAGTGATAGAACATGTTGACCACTTCACCTATTCGGCAAGTTGTATCAGCACCAACGGACTGATTGGCGACGAAATCTCAGCACGGATCCGAAAAGCTCGAGCTGCTTTCGCCAACTCACACCATCTCTGGCGTAGGCGTGACAACCGGCTATCAACCAAGGGACGTGTGTACTGTTCAGCAGTTCGCTCTGTCCTTCTCTATGGCTCTGAAACATGGCCAATACGCGTTGAAGACATGAAAAGGTTGACTGTTTTCGATCATAGATGTCTATGATCTCCTTCTCACGTTAGGTGGTATAATAAGGTAAGTAATGTTGACGTTGGGCGTAGAGTGTTGGGCAAAGAGGGGAAATCAATCGACGAGGCTATAAAGTTACATAGACTAAGATGGCTAGGTCACGTGGGGCGCATGCCTAACCATCGCCTCCCCTGACGGGCATTACTCGCTGATATAGGTGCAGGTTGGAAAAGAGCCAGTGGTGGCCAAACAAAAACATGGCATCAATCTATGAAATCCTTGACAGTTAAACTGAGTCAGGTAGGGAGGGAGATGCAGACTTCCGGGTTGGGGCCCTCGGGACTCTAGGAATCAATGGCTGGAGACAATAGGTGACATGGCTCAAAATCGTTGTCAATGGCCAGCGCAGATGTATTCAGTCTCTGTAATCTTTCATATTCCTCTCTACCATTACCCATTCTGTTTCGCTCTTATACTTGTCAAACTCTATTAATTCTCTCCACTCATCTTCTTGTCTACCTTTGTGTGCTATTTGGAACGTGGCAACTGGAACTGGTGCACTTCGGTGCCAAGTTCTATGTTGAATCCAAACAGACAAACACTGAAGTAGTTAGCGTTTATACATATACTGCGACATCTCCTTTTACAAATAAATAAACAAATAGAATTGTAAAGAAAAGTAATAATTCTGGTTGTAATATGCCGTTAAATGTCTGTCGAAAACAGACAGATAGACGTTAAATGTACTGATTAAAAGGCTTATAGGCTTGTTTCTGACCAATTGTCTCTTCAAACGATATCTGTGCTAAGTATAGTTTGACTGGACTTTCATATATACGCTTAGATGGTTGAAGGAAATCGTCAGGAAGCCTTGCTTGACCTAGTTTCGTGCTAGTTGGCACTCACCAATCACCAAGGGGTATCTGCAACCTTGAGAGAACTCATGTCCCTCCTGAGATCCGAAGCGATGTCACCCGGAGCTGTACTCAGAGAGGTTACCACTGAGCTAGCTATTCTGGCTCGTCACTGACCTCCTGTAGGACTGTACTGGATATTTTCACTGGAATTCTATCAGTTATGTTTGCAATGTGGCCACCATTCTAGTTGATCAGTAAGAAAAGGACTATACATATGCTGCTAGTAATTGTCCAATCAGTGTACTTTTGGAAGTATATTGTGATGGCGATCTACCTAGTGGAAAGGTGGCCATATTGATAATCTGACCGATGATAGAATTCGGTCTGTACCAAACATATGACTAGACGCATTACTCTAGTTACTAGTATCCAATCAAAGTATATTTACCCTTATATGAGGACACAAATTCTTATGAAATTTCTTTTTCTGCTTTTACTCGAAGAGACAGACACAAGCAGAAGGAAGAGGATGTTCAATATCAGACAAGAGGACTTCAGCAGCACTAGCTGTTTACAAGAAATAAAAGGCCTGTATCAAGAACAATGCCTGTTAGTTGAGTCAAAGGTACACAGACACACACCTTAGCCCTGCTTTTACAACCTTCAAAATTCTACGTAACATAACATACGAGTTTGATTACGGATTGGTGTCAGTTAGAGAAACATTGGAGAACTAACGGAGTTCTGGACAGCTGTTTCATCCTAGTGCTTGGGAGTCATCGGTAGTACGCACCCACTGCCGGGGTTAGAACCCAGGAGCTTCCGGTTACAAGGCCAGCGAACTCGTATACCATTCAGCCACTGAGACCCGATTCAATGGCTCGCCCATGACTTCTAACTTCTACCAATTCGTGATACATTTAGCGCGACTGGCACCAACTAATGTCATCTCAGTGGGAACTGCCTCCTCACACTTTGTTGGACTGGTTGGACCTCACCGGTCACGACCTCTCACTAGAATTCCAGGAAACTCCATCCTGTAGGAAGCAAATCACTAGCGAGCATCAGATTAATTTTACAAGAGTTGGTTTGTAAGTATTAGATTTGTTTTTACGAGTTTGACTACGGATTGATATAAGTAAAAATAAATAGAATCTTCTATATTTTGGTTTGTAAGGCTTTGTTATGTTTTTCACGAGTTGGTTGGGGTTGCGCTAAATCACGAATTGGTAGAAGTTAGAATTCATGGGCGAGCCATTGAATCGGGTTCCAGTGGCTGAATGGTATACGAGCTTGCCTTGTAACCGGAAGGACCTGGGTTCGAACCCCACTGTGGTGGGTGCGTACTGCCGATGATTCCCAAACTAGGCTGATGAAATAGCTGGCTGTTCAGTACTCCCTGTTGGTTTTCAATGGTTCTCTAACTGATATCAATCCGTGATCAATTCGTAAAAACATAAATGGAATCCTTACAAACCAACTCTTGAAAATTAATATGACATAATCGAATATCACAAACCGGGGGGAAGGAATAATAAAATAAAGAATCAGTAGAATGCACGAATTAATCAATTGTGTAAGAGAAAAGGTTGAGTTATGCCAGCAGCAAAAGTTTCAACTTCAATTGTATATAAAAATTCAAACAAAAGATTTCCTTAGAAATTAATATGATGAAATGAGACGATCAACAGAGATTGGAAGAGAAACTGATACAACGATAAATAGTATTTTCAATCCTCTACTCTACCACTATAGTGCTGTTGGTTATTACAAGAATCATAAGGCTGTATCAGTCAGTCCACACAAGTGTTGTTCACGCCTGAAACTAAAATTAGCAGCCTAACCTATAGCGGGGGGGGGGGTGCTTCAGTTTAAGACCATTAGTCAACCTCAGATATTATTATTATTGTTCCCTTGGGTTCCTAGTGGAAAATACGGCTTCAACTGCACGTCTCCACTTGCCACTTCTGTCTTCTGCTGTACTTTTCACCTGCATATATCTTAGTCCATACTCTTTCAACTCCTCCTCCTCTTCACACGATCTCCTCCATGTCACCCTTGCACTGACGTCCCACTCGCCGCTTCCCTTTCGGCCTGGTTCCACTCGAACAATGGCCTGACACTCGCGCGATGTCATCCAGCGACCACCTCAGCGAGTGTCCAAAACATCTCCGTCGACTTTCTCCTGCATATTTGTTGGGCGATTGGTTCTTGTTTTGTTCGTTCCCATAGTTTCTTGTTGGTAATTCTTTCCGGCCCGGCCATCTGGTCTTCAGTAAAGAGCGAAGATAGTTGTTGATAAAGGTAGGTCTGCAAACGGGCTGTTGGAAATATTCTTTGTGAACCGTCCGCCAAATTTCTGATCCATATCGAAGAATTGGCTGACTTGATGTTTGTATTGAAAATCCTACCGAATTTTGTTGTTGATGCTGGCTGAGTGACGAAGATTCCCAGATGGTTTCAGGTTGATGAATGTGTTTCTCGCCCCCCCACTTGATTCTCGCTCGATTTGACATCCTCGTCCGTTCCGACTTCCTGTAGTTGAGACAATGCTCCCTAGATAAGTGAGTGAATGAAGTAACCTCTTTCAAATCCCTCCCGTCGATGATGTTGATTGGGGCTGGATGTTGCTGCTATTGTTGTTGTTGTTGGTTGGTTGGTTATTTTCATAACTGTCGTCTTGTCTATGTTCACCTGGAGTCGTGTCTTCGCCGACTGCTTCTTCGACCAGTTTGTCGGTTTTCGCATGTAAGCCTTCGATTTTGTGTGACATCAAACATAAATCATCCACGCGTGAAATCCATGTCTTCTAGATTGTTCACGTCGGTCCAGGATATCCATGCCTTCTCGTTTCTCACTGCACTGATTGACGCATAATCCAGTCGGTCCACCACAGTCAGGAATATCATTGGTGATAATAGGCAGGCACCCTTGTCTGACTCCTGTGTTTACTCCAAATGCCTTGCTGAGTTTTCCGTTGTGGATCACTTGACATGTGCCGCCGTTGTCGTACAGCTGTTGAATAAGGGCGCTGCATGCCGTAGTACTCGAGTAGTTTCCAAACTACTTCATGGTCAACACTGTCTGTCGAAGGCCTTCTCAAAGGCTATAAAATTGAGGTAGACAACCTTAGATAGGAAGCTGTTTATACCATAGCAATCTAATACAAAAAAGCATGGTGGTTGGGTGGGTATGAGAGATCAGTAAGCGTGAATTCATCTTCACTAGCCATTGGGAACGATTTCGAGCTGTATATCACCGATTATCTTCAGCCATTGGTGCTTACCATTCCGAAGACGCCAACCAGCCACGAAGTCGACACCCACCACTTACGTGGGTGGCTTAGAATAAGTGTCAGAGATTTCATGCACTGATTCCATGTTTTGATTTCACCACCCTCTACCCACTCTTTTCCAACCTGATCCTTCCATCGAGGAAGGTGATGACTTGGCGTGCGTAACACATGTCCTAACCATCTCACTGAATCGATGTAACATCACAATCTTGTCGATTTATTCTCCCTCCTTATGTAATATTCAACGTCTAACCTCAATATTCCTTACCTTATTATGCCACTTAACACGGTAGATAGAATGCAGACGGCTATGATCAAAGACAGCAAGTCAGCCTTTTCATGTCTTCCACTTTCAATGATGGCCATATTTTACAGCCAGCCGTGTAAAGGATGACGGAGTGAACTGCTGAGCAGTACGCGCTTCCTTTTGTCAATAACCAGCTGGATATCACGTCCTTGCCAGAGATAATGTAGGTTGATGTATGTATACCACATGAGTCTTTTGTATCAGTGCTGAGATTTCATCAGCAATCAGCCATTTGTGTCTGACGCATTTTCTATGCCGTTGATTTACATCTCAATGCGGAGACGCGTGGCTTATGCACCACCTGTCATCTCTTGGTTCCCAGGTTCACATCCACCCCCTAACCGTCTACGTTAACCTGGACAACTAAATAATACCATTTGTCTTGAGACACAACAACAAGTGTAGCTTAAAAAATCCCCATTGTGTCATATGAAAAACAGAAGATGTTCAATGAAGAGACTCTTTTCGGCGAATTCAATCATATAGCTGACAATCGCATTTATATTTATTTATTTGTGTGTGTGTGTACATGAGGTTTGTCAAGTTTAGATAATTGATCAGGTAATACAAGAATGATCTAATATAGAAACAAAGTTAATTAGACAGGAACTAAAGTAAGATTGAGTTAGTAAGTTAGATGACGTAATACAATTGACGAAAATGTTTCAACCTAGGTCAGGGTAGCAACAGAGGTAATTACAGGTAGAGACTAAGTAGAAGTGGGGTAGATAATAATGCCATTTAAATCAGAACTGAAATTGAGCAATTAAGTTGGATGACGTAACATAAATGACTAGAAATTGAGCGTTGGTCAGATCAATTAAAGTGGTAGTGAGGTGTAGAAATTAAATCGGGTGAGGGTAGAGAACAAGAAAGTTGAAAATGCAAAAATATTACAACTGATAAGACAAAATAATACTAATGAAGAGACAGACGAAAAAAGATTGGGTAGAATTTACTTGTCGGGTAATAAGATACATTACGTCCATTGGAAGTGTAGTGATTGAACGAACTTCTTTAGTATGCAGAATTCAGGAGATAGCAAGTGAATCGCCATTGCTTCTGCAGTTTGAAGAAGTCTGATTCGTACACCTTTAGGAGGACTAGTTCGTATTCTGTAACGACTTTGAAGTTTGTTTGAGGCGTAGCTTGGTGTCCGGAATCTATCAGATGTTCTAAGATGGAGCTGCATGAGGGCATCGTTTCTCTCCTTTGTAAAACCATGTTGGTAAGTGTTCGGTGATATGTTTGGAAAGCGAATGCTGGTTGCGGCCTTCATACCTGGCTCCACACGAGCAGGTGAATTGATAAATACACATAACCTGGAATATGGAAAACCCATTGCAAGAAATAGTGAGTTTAATCAAACAAATAACTCGAATTCTGCTGTCAGCTAGGATTAAAATTTCTGATTGAGTTACTATCTGTCATATACTTTAATTTCTTCATTGTTTTAACAATAACTTATTATACTACTTTTCATTTAATGTGCATACCATACCCATTAGTATGGAGACATTCCCTGAGGTGGCTTCCCTCACCTTACAAGCACTGTCTGGTCTATTAGCTCAAAAGCCGTGTCCATTATCAGCTGAACGTCTGTGTCAACTATTCGTTGTCAATATGTTCAATGTGGATCGTGCTGCCTCGATGACAAATCAAACAAGCACATTGACAACTAATAATTCTGCGAAGAATAAAATGACTACGACTCCTTCTACTACTATTACTACTACCAATAATAATGAAACGAAGAGTAATTCTAACCATCCAACTGGAATTGACAATTTCCTACCATCTTCACGACTAACAGACATTGAAACACTGCGTTCTGTTCATCATGATCATGCTGCACGATTCGCACTGGATACGTTTAGTTTAGTATGCAGAAGAGCAGCTCAATTACTTCAAGAGGTATTATTATTATTATTCCTTTTACTATATTATATGTTGTGATTTTTAGGCATTATATGTAACTGTGGACTCAGTTCCTGGAACAGCCCGTTCACGTTCCAGACTATGAGTCATAGTTGTTTTACAATAGATGATAATACTACCCAGTTTTCCGAAGCCGGGAGTAGTTGAAACAGATTTCAGCCTTGTTAACTACTGGCTAAAGGCCGATTGCTTAAGCTCTAGTGAGCTGTGTCGGTGGTTCGGCGGTAGAATGTTCGCCAACTGCATACGTGATCCGAGGTTCAGATCCTAGCCGACGAGCCTCGCAACCTTAATTAGCCAGCAGTAGTGTGGTGAGAGCAATTTACGTCAATGTTTTTGATGTGTTGTGTTCTCTGAGCTGGATAGCGAAGCGTTCATCATCCTACTAGGTGACATCTTCAGTGCATACTTCAATTTGAAGTAAGCTTTTGGATTTTTTCACAAGTTTATCAATCATCTCTTCTGGTGATATTGGACGTGATTGGTTGTATTTGTGTGTTTTCACACCTTCTAGGTTGCTTGTATTGGAACTGATTGTTTCCTTGACTTGAACTTTGACCCTTTGTGTGTGAAGCTTCTTTCTTATCGGTTGATAAATTTTGTCTATCTCAATGTGTCTATTGATTGGTGATTCACTTGAATACCAGGTAGGCTTCTAATAATTCTGTAGCATCCTAGTTGTTTCGTCTGTCTACTATTTGACAGTTGGTTTTCCCAGTCGAATTAATGTCCGTGGTTGTCGGTGTGTAGTGATATGAAGGAGTGGATATTATGTCTTTTGACGGCTAGCTTATGTTCGTGGATACGAAGACGAAGAGGACGTTGTCCAATTTATTAACTGTTACGTTGAAATTTAATCCTTGAGAAAAGGACGTTGTCCACTTTGGCTAATGTACTGTTTTTCACAGTTGCTACAATTTATTTTGTAGATGATGTTGGTTTTATCTTCTTTCGCTGTTGGGTCTTTTGGTTGACATAGAACTGAGTGAATTGATTTTGTTGGTTTGTGTACGACGTCAATTCCTAAAGGTTTGAAGAGTCTTGTAGTGATTTCTGAGATATCCTTTATATATGGTAAGGCGATTTTCTTTGTGCTTTCTTTGGAGGCTTTTGGTTTGATCGGTTGACTTGGGGCTATATATCTTTTGATGAAATTCTGTGGATATCCATTGTTTTGGAAGACGTCCTCTAGATATTTTTCTTCAATTTTCCTTAAGGTGGGAATGCTGCAATAAGTCCTTGCCCTCTTGAGTGGTGTTTGTGTGCAAATCCTTTTGTGTGTTATTGGATTGTTAATGTTGTAATTCAGTATTTGGTCTGTGTAAGTTGATTTTCTAATTCCCGGTGGTTGTTCGGTTGACTGAGACGTCCAAAAATGGGATTTGGTTCTCGGATTCCTCTTCCCTTGTGAATTTGATGTCGCTGAAGACGTCGTTTATCAAGTCCCAAATCAGGGCCATGAGAAAAACGATAAGAAAGCTTAACCTTGAGAAAATCAGCAGCCAATCACAACGGAGTTAAAGTGTAGAAATATTATTCACAGATATTTGACTTAATTTTATGAGAAACAGTTACAAAGAGATGACAGAATAACCTTCAACAGGAAGTCAACCAATCGGAAGGGTTACTCTCTGCTAACAATAACGCTAATAATAATACTCATAAAAATCTATAAATACCTGTTGATTTTCTCAATAAACGACCTGTTGCCTGGCCTTTGTCTTCTATTGTTACAGTAGTAAACCTAGTAAAAAAAAAGGAAGTTGGGAGTGAGACTATCACCCCCACTTTCCATAAAAAAGAATAACACAATTGCTACTCAAAAATTCAACTCCCTAAATTTGTTCCACTCAGAACGCAAAAGAATAAAATAAATCATAAGTCAGATACGTCCTCAAATTAGTGACCACAAAAATATCATAAAATGATAATTCTATAAGAGGAACTAGCGAAATGGGATAATTTAGGCGGCACAGCATCGCGAAATCAAGTAAGCAATGGTTACTGAAGATCATTCAAAGGAACATTTATTGCCTTCTGTTGTTTCTAGGACGATGAAGGAGAAAGTCTTAGCGTGTTCACCGTTGATTTTATTTTGGATCACGTCTTCACCTCCAATCCCAATGAATGGGAGAGTATGAGAGTGTTGAGGTTATCGAGACCTATGTTCCAAGGTATACAAAACGCACACGCTGTCAGACCTTAGATTTACTCACGCGATTATGACACCGGATGCAAACAATTCTACATAGACACAGTGTTGTTGGTTGAACACACCGAGTTGTAGCGCATCTTCTACTAGTACAGGCAGGGTTTTAATAGCGTCGTGCAGTTAGACTGTAGACGAGATCTTTGACGGTCAAGCTCTGGAGTTGCTATGGTGCTACATCTACAGATCTCTCAGTTTGGTGTGCATGCCACTGGGTATTTCACTATACGATGAGAAATTTATATTTTCCACACGTCCATAAACAGTTATGTTAATTGCTAGAGTATCTTCAAGTTTATATAATATTGATTTTCAGAAGACTTGGTCATTAGTCAATAAAGAACAGTCTTAACGATAACTTCTAAAGTTATGTATGCATTATAACTAAAGAGTTGCAAGTCTGGTCGCGGATTAATATCAGTAAGAGAACTATTGAAAACATGTAGAAAGTACTGGACAGCTGTTTTCTCCTAGTTTGGGACCCACTGACAGTACACACCTACACCTCGGATTTCGGACCCACGACCTCCCGGTTACAGGTCAAGCTTGTATAACCATTCAGCCTTGTGAGACCCGAATCGATGGCTAGCACATGAATTCTAATTTCAATCAATTCGTGATGCATTTACCTCGACTGGCATCATTCAGTGTCATTTTTGCGGTGAGTATTTGTTTTCCCTCTCGATCGGTTGAACTGGATTCCCACTGCCTATCACGACTTCTCTCTAAAACGAACAACAGGCAACTTCAGCCTGGACACAGTCATTAGCGAGTATCTACCAGCCTGCCTTGTAACCAGACGGTCCTGCATGCGTACTCCCTAGGAGTCCCAAGCACTAGGACGAAACAGCTGTCCGGCACTCCCTGGTTTTTCTTCCATGGTTCTCTAACTGATATCAATCCGTGATCAAATTTGAAAAGTAAATCGAATCCCAACAAATAAACTGTTGATAATTGAAGAGTTTTTGTTAATGAAAAGGTTAACATCGAATCATTTACATCGAAATTTCAAGTGGTGTATGCAAGAAGGGATTGTATGTATTCAAGTGTTGGTTTCTAGGGATGTGATTGGCTACAGGATTTCATCATGAGCTGACATTAGTTAGAAAACCTTTGGAAAACATGGGAGTACTGGAGGGCTGTTTCGTCCTAGTTTGAAACTCTTCACGAATACTTAAATATTAATGAGATGCTCACTAGCGACTTGCCCTATTCAGGTAGGTAGTTGCCTGGGGTTCTAGTGAGAAGTCGTGACCGGTAGGGTGCAACAGGTCGGGTGTGAGGACAAATACTCGCCGAAGACATTGGTTTGGGGTCGCGCCATGTCATGAATTGGCAGAAGTTAGAATTCATGGGCCACTGGACCGGGTCCCAAACTAGGACGAAACAGCTGTCCAGTACTCCCAGGTTTTCCAATGGTTCTCTAACTTATGTCAGCTCAAGATTTGTATGTAGTTAAAAACATGGCTTATATGATAACACGCATTAATGTAACACTCAGTTGAACATCAGACCTAATAAGTGAGATGGTCATGCATGACAGCACATATGTGTGTATACATAATACTGACTAGTCATGATTAATGCTCATACTGAATTGCATTCAATCTGAATGTATAAACTTCATTGAGATGAATGGTAATCTCAAAAACAGGTGGAAGAGAAGGGTTATGTGTTGTGTACGTTGATGTAGGTGAATTGTTAGGTGAAATAAAGAAAATTAGAGGTTTGTTGATACATGTGTAATAGGGGGATAGTAGGAATTTATACACATCTGGGAGGCGGTGGTATGACGTAATGCCAAGTGTTTATAAATTCACAGAAGGCCTGGGTAGCAATTATTATTATATCCTTTAATTCCTAGGGGGAAATAGGGCTTCAGTCAAACGTCTCCATTGCGTTCGGTCCTCTGCTATAGTTTTCACCTGGTTCGGGTTCCACTCGAGGACTTGTCTAGTGATGTCACTTAATTGACGGTTTGTTTTCTCAGAGTATGGCCAGCCAATCCATATCCATTTCTTCTTACTTATTTGTTACACAATCGGTTCCTGGTTGGTTCGCTTATTGCCAGAGATCCCTCACTATTGCTGATCTTTTCTAGCCGGCCATCTGATCTTGAGTATTGAGCGAAGACAGTTGTTGATGAAGGTCTGTAGTTTGTTTGAGATGCTCTTTATGACGCACCAAGTCTCCTATCCGTATAGCGAGTAGCACTGACTTCACATTGCAGTTCAAAATCCGGATGTTATTTTTGGTTCTGAGTGCTGTTGTCCTCCTGCACACAGACTTGAGAGTAATGAAAGCTTGTCCTGCTTTCCCGATCCTCTCTGCTTTGTTGCTATCCTCATCAGTTCCGTCCGCCTGTAGTTGAGACGGTGCTTCCCAGGTAGGTGAAGGAGGTTGCTTCTTCCAGGTTCCACCCATTTACGCTGACTGTTGTCTGTTGGTGTTGCCTACGCATCTTCATCAATTCCGTTTTCTCTATGTTTACTTGGAGTCCTATCTTTGATGCTTCTTCCACTGTCGACTTGTTGCTTTCCACTTGCATATCTTCCATATTGTAGGAAACCAGACATACACCATCGGCGAAGTCCAGGTCCTCCAAGTTTTTCGTGAGGGTCCATTTTATGCCTGTTTCCTCATTGCCCACTGTCTGTCGCATTATCCAGTCTATCAAAATCAGGAAATAAATCATTGAAGATAGTAGGCAGTGTTGTCTTACTCCCGTCTTTACTTCGAAGGATTCCGTAAGTTTCCCGTTGTGGATTACTTGGCATGCAGCATTGTCGTACAACTGTTGGATGAGATGTATAATTGTCTGCGGCACCCCGTTGTAGCGAAGTAGTTGCCGAATCACCTTATCGATCGACGCTGTCGAAGCAATAGTGCCGTTTGGACCCGTTTCTTTTGATTGCTTGCTTGCTTGCTTGCAGAGCTCTCTGGCCGTTCGGTACCTAGAGGCTTTTGGCAATTTATTTGGTAACCGCTATAAGGGAGGTAGCTTGTGTGGATCACATGGTTTGATAGAGAACTACCAATGGATTTTACTACACCTTTGTCTAGACACCGTAGTGCTCGTGTCCCTAAGAACGGAAGAGTAACTTCCTATTTCACATAAACTGGCTCCAATTGAGCAGTTGAACTGATGGAAACAAGAAGAGCTTACTAGTGTGGTGAAAGCTGTCTGCTAGCCAAAATTGGTAGGCAGCAATTTACGTCAATGTTTAATTCCTAAATCTTGATCATAAGAAGAGAAAAGCAAGAGTAAAGACTAACTCAACAACCGATAACAGCAGACTTTGTGTGGGCGGACACTATTTGAAGATATACAGTCTGACCATCAAAGAAACGGCCACCAAGAGATGACAGAATAACTTTCAACGAGAAAACAACCAATCAGAAGACACTGTTTCTCTGCTAATAATAATGTCGAATAATAATGTACATAAAAATCTATAAATATATCTTGATTTCCTCAATAAAAAATCTGTTGTCTGTTACTTGTCTTCTGTCGTTATACTAATTTGTGTGTTTCCCCATGTCGTTTCATAACAACCTCTAATATTGTTGCCAATATTAGGGCCGGGAGAAGGACAGAGCATATTTCAGTGCAAGCAGGGTCAGTCACTGTAAACAGCGCCTCACCTGCTTTCTGTCCGGATATTTTTCTGTAATGATCGAAACAGACTCACCTCCAATCTATTATTCACACAGCCTCGCGTCATCATATACCTTGGCAGACAGCGTATGCCCTTACAACTGTCCCATTAGGGTAACCAAGGCCTTATGATCCATACTAGGCGTCATTCGATCCACATACATACTACGGCCTCCAACCTTTGCCACTACATTTACTTCTTCTGTCCGGGACCCCGAACCCGCATGCATACGCAGCCTAAGGGACAGTCGGGCAGTCTCCTGTCCTTATACTAACCTTTAGGTACCTCGCCGGGCCCTTTTATGAATCCGATTTCATCCTAGTTTACGAATTATCAGAATTGTGCATTAAAATACCAACATACCACAACCCATATGCTTGTTTATGATTTATAATTTTTAATGAAATTTACACTGAAGTTAATTCCATTCAGTTGGGAAGTTAAATTCAGTTAATTTCTTGTTTAACGTTATATACTACTGAATAATGGATATAAGTAGTTGGACAACACAACATATCAACCAGTAGCACTTGCTACGCAGTTTGAAGTGATCTTATCAAAACAGAAGACAAGGGCCAGGCAACAGATCGTTTATTTAGGAAATCAACAAATATTTATAGATTTTCATGTACACGATCATAGATTATTGTAAGCAAACAAACACATTCTTCTGATTGGTGGTTTCTCGTTGAACGTTAATCTGTCATCTCTTTGTGGCTGTTTCTTGAATGTCAGATCATATATATGCTAACCGTATCCGCCTACGAAAACTCTTTGTTCTTATTTTTCTCACGACGAATATTGGGGACGTAACCATCGTCGTAAATTACTGTCTACCGATTTGGCTAGCAGCCAGCCCTCACCATAATCTTATCCATCACCGGATGGCCGGTGGTTTATCTGGTTTAACTCAGCTTCGACAGCCGAATAAATCGAAACCGTCTGAATTCTAGCTACCTACTTCTTGTTCTTCAGTTGTTAACTATTATTTTATGGTGTTGTTTTTAGAGTTTAGTGGCCAATATTTATACTAAAGGGAGTGTTCACTTTTAAGTGGACCCGACAACTGCTGGATAACTCCACTATCAGTAGAGTGAGTGGAATGTAGATCATCGACTTAGACACTCGACTTACAGTTAGAATCGACCCCTTGGGTTCGTGTCTCTCTCCACCTGTTTCAATCTGTGGACCACTGGGTATCATAGTCAACTCTCACACGATAAGCTTGTGGCTCAGCTGGGAACATCAAAAACCCTTTCCGAGTAACTGTTTTCAAAAAATAACACAGCGTCAATTCTTTTCAGGCCTCTTAAGGTAGCTTCATGATCAGCCCATGAGCTTTCATCTTTGCTTCACACCATCTTGTTTATTTCACCCCGAATTCACTCTATACTCGTCGTTACAGTCTAGGGGCTGACGCTTGGTGACAAACCAACGTCTACTCAGTGTATGCCTAATCTACCTCCCTTTTTTCAGCATGTTTGTTGGGAAATCGGTTCTTGATTGATTCGCTTCCAGAGGTCCTTGTTGCTAATCCTTTCTGGTCGTCTAATTTACAGTATCGCGCCAGCAAGGACAGGTGTTGCTTAATAGTCTGGGGTAGTCTGTTTGAAGTGATTTTCGTGGTGATGCACCAAGTCTCTGACGAAGTCAACGTAGAAATTAACACAAGTTTAGCAGTTCAGTAGGCAAGTTACTGAACCATATAGCAGGACTGACTGAATTGCCGTTAGTGTTGAAAGTTCGGATGTTGTTGTTGTCTATGCTTAAGTGTAGCAGATTTCCACACTAGTTCCAGCGTATTGTGAAGATCTGTCTTTCTTTTCTTATTCTAACTGGCTTTGACATTCTCATCCTTGTCATCCATGCCTGTAGTTTAAAGGACGCTGCTTCGATGATAACTGAAAAAAGTGACCTTCTATATATTTCTGTCATTCATTGTGATTGGGGCTTGTTGATGGTGGTGACTGAGGAGGGGGGTATCCTCATCACCTTTCTCCTCTATGCGTTCACCTAAAATCTATCATGTCTTCGCTGTCCCCTGTGCCAACTTGTTAGTTTTCGTCTGTAGATCTTCTAAATCTCGCGAAGTCCTAGGTCTCGTAGTGTTTTCTTGTCGGTCCAGTGTGTAGCCGTCTCCTCGATCCCGGCGATCCGTTGTATGATCCAGTTCACTACCACCACTGTCAGGAATATCATTAGTAATAATAGTATTAGTAGTCATCTTTGTACACTTTCACACATAAATTTTGCCTACTCTATTACCACTGTTATTTTTTTTTATTATACTTCTTCACTTAGGCCCCTCCAGAAGATGCTGGTCCAGGTTGGCTTCAGCCAGATGCCCGTATCCTACTGTCTGCACTTTGTCTATGGACTGAATGGATGATATTGCATCCAGAGCATTGGCTGCCTCCACCAAATCATCGTGATCCAACACTTCGTCCGCATTTAGATGATTGGCAATTAGTAGCTAGGCTATGCAGTCAAGCAGCTGCCTGGCTTTCACGTTACCCATCTACAAGACGACCAAATTATGAAGAGATTACACCGACAACATCACTTGTTCTTCGACTTAAAGGTGAAATATGCAACGATGAGAAGTTAGAAGATGATATTCGAAAGTTGAGCACGTTTCAAACGCTGCAAGATGGAAGCTTGTTTAAAGCTACATTTCTTACTGAAGAAGTATATGTCGCTGGCTTTAAGCCAATGTTAGATTTAACACCTAAGGTAAGAGTAAAATTGTATATAATGGATGTATACGAGTTTCTTGTTGAATATACTAGTGGTTCTGTTTTGCCATTATGTCTGCATTCAATGTGTATATGTTCACAGTGTCTATCTCGAGGTAATGTAATTGATATATTGAGGGAAACAAAATCTGTCTAGAAATAAATACGGTAATCAATCTGTTTTCATCGTTTTAAGTCTTCTTGAGATGTTAACTTTGCTTAGCTCTTTCTCCCGTGTTAGGTTGTATAATAGGATGAGCAATATTTGAGACTAGGTGTCGTGTGTTAGTTAAGGAGGGGAGGCTTCGTGTGCTTTTGGAAATGTGTGAGCGGTTGTTACTTCCCGGCTGCCCACACTGTGGAAGTTGATTGATTCTTCGGGTACCTGAAACAGAAAAAGGGTTAGTGTTGTGTGACCTCAGAGCCCAGAGGACAACTGCTTGAGACCGGTCACACACGGCCTGTATGAACTGGTTTCTGGGATTGGTTCCTTATGAATAACTTACCGCCGACTAAAGACCACCGTAGGATAATTCAGGACGAACAATTTTTGAGGTTGACCTTTTCTAAACCCTCTCTCCCTCCAGAGTCGAAAGACAGCCTATCTGGCATGCTGGTCATCTGAGGGAAACGCCTCACTGCTGCTACACCCCTATTCCCCAGGAGTAGAACTTCGCCCTCAGATCCCCAGGATAGTTTAAGAAAGATTCTTACACTAAGCCGGTAACTGCTTTTAGTCTAATCGCTATCCTAACAATCTTCCTGGCATGAGATGACCTGCTGGAACACTGGTTCCAGCCAGTGCAGCTTGTTGGGTAATCGCGATGCTCAACTGAGGTGTCCACCACGTCAAGGTAGCAGCTATCAGTCGGATCGGGAAAGTCATTGGATTAGGTTGTGAAGTTACATTGATTGAGTGAGATGGTTAGGACGTGTGTTTCGTATGCCTAGCTATCACCTTCCTCGATAGGGAAATGTTAACTGACATAGAATGGATCAAGTTGCAAAAGAGGTAGATGTGGTCAAACAAAACATTGTGCTTCGGTGGCACAGCGTTTAGGACGCTCGTCAACCATCCACATGGTCGGGGTTTGATTCCCGGCCGACACACTCCTTTACCTCGCTAAGCCAGAAATATTGCTGGTAAAGAGGAAAGGTTGGGCATGAGGCTAGCAACCTCATCCTGTAAAATTAATCACCGCTACAGCAACTTCAAGCCACTAGCTTGAGGCCCTATGTTCCACTGCGAACTTGAAGGAAAGAAAAAAACTTGAAGAACTGATTGAATTCCCACAGAGAATTTTGCACAGAAAGTGCAGTAGTTCAAGTTTCCATAATCCATATAGCACATATAGGTAATAAAAAGACACCAGAAATGTTATGACATAGGGTGAACCGTTTGAAGTTGTTGATAAGTTTGTGTATCCGGGTAGTTGTGTGAGTGCTGGCGGAGGGGTGACGGATGAGATTTCCAATCGTATAATGAAAGCTAGGGTCGCATACATCAAATTCAGCCACCTCTGGCGCGGTCGCGACGCTAGCCTGGCTGTCAAAAGTCGGGTATACAATGCTTCGGTGCTGGCTGTCTTGCTCTACGCCTGTGAAACCTGGCCTATGCGAGTAGACTGAGGATGTGCGGCGAATGTGTGTGTTCGATCATCGCTGTCTCCTCAGGATTGCTTGCGTTCGATGGCATCATCGCATGAGTAATTCTGAGGTTCGGTGGCCTGTGGTGTTTAAACACAGTGGAGATCATCATTCATTGAGTGTCGTCATCTGGAAGCACCGGCTCCGGTGGCTTAGACATGTGCTACGAATGTCATCCCAGAGGCTTCCGTACAGATCTCTGTTGGCTAGCCAGCCCTGGGACGGGATGGAAAAGGCGGAGGGGTGGTCAGTCCATGACGTGGCGTCGTGGGATGAAGGATGCTTGTGCTAGATTAGTATCGGTTGGTGTGTCACGACTCCCTGGTTGAAGTCTGCGAGATAGCTCGAATCGATGGCTCGAAACGTTATCGGATATGGCCAAGAATCGTAATCAACGGCGAACGTGTTGCAATTTCCTTCTTTCTTCCCTTCCCGATGATAGTTAACGAATACTGTTTGAACTTGTTAGTTATGAGTGTTTTCCCTCCAGATGAAGTTCTCTACCTATATTTTTTTTACTTTTGATCTATGTTGTTTTATTATTATTGTTTGGTGCATCTTTCTTGGTGCTCTATTGTACCAAGTTTTTTCTGCGTTTAAATAAATAAAGAAATAAATATGACGGGGGTGGGATGGGATGTGGAAGAATAGTAACGTGGAAAAAACCATGAGGTGAAATTTATTTTCATAAAGTCTCACAGGGTGTTATACACTAATCTATACTGATGACCACGTTTCGAGCACAATTTATTATCAATGCTCATAATCATATCAAGGCACTACTCACACAACTTTTTAACTTCGTTAATGTAATTCCATTATTTTTTATTGTTTGACTTGATTGGTAGTAGTAAGATTTTCCATATTTCCGGTATGAGTTATCAGTCATTCCGATTACACTCACGCCCTTCAGAGATGATTTAAGAATGTTGTTGATGGCAAGGTATTGAACGAGAATAATTGTTTGTGTCATCCGGTAGAGGTGTCCACCCTGTTAAGTATTGTTAAATCTAATCTACTCAGACACCCGATAGACGCGAACTCAGCAACGAATTTTGGGAAGAACGAATGAGCTGTAAACAGTAGGTTTGGGAAGGGGTAACGAACTTTTTTCATTAAGGATAACACACACCATATTTATACATTTTCAACCACATTAAAAGTCGATTGGGCCAGCGGACAATAAATTGTTGTGATTGGCTGATTATTAGTCCAAGGATAAACAAAGGGATGTAAAGTTGTCCAATGCGATTGTTTCCAGACTACAACGTAAACTAAATCTACATTTGAGAAATAATAACTTCTACCTCTACAAGTATTGACTTAAAATGTTAACTTCTATTTTTGGCTGCTTCTTATCAATCTTCATCTATTTAGTACACACTACAGTTTCACTTTCGTTCTTTGACTGAACTTTGGCACCTATTGGTTGTCTAAAGTTTAACTTTGCCATTGAATATGTATCACCCAACCTCTGCTTTCACAATTTGTCAACTCTCGTATATTATCTATTCTACTTTACTGCTCCCCATTAGTCTTTCCTGGGTTACTGAAAAAGGACTATACCATCCTGGGAAGGATGTTAAAGGTAGTTAGTAGGACTAGTGGTGTAAAACTCAGTCAGTTCGTAACTCACTACATTAGTAGAAAGGTATCTGAATATATGCGAAAAATGGTCTAAAACCATGCTCGACACCCAACACCCCCTCCATTCCCAACTCTCCCCTTGTATCTCATCAGGTAGAACCAGAAATCAGTACAAAATAATATATGCTCAACGATACCATATTTGGCCAGCCCGTGTTCTAAGTGACAGAGACGAGACAATGTTAAGCGCGAAACCTATGACTTGCTTTGTTGTTAATACCATGATTTTGGCTCTTTTATTTCTCTCTTATTTGTATTCTATACTGAACACCTTCTTAAACATACTTAGCTACTTAATATTATTATCATTGGCTTACTTTTTGTACTTTACTGTATTCCTTCTTTTGTGTATCTCCTGGTCCCGACTATACTAGCACTATGAGTATTACAAAATTGTCCTGTCATTAACCATCATGTAATATTAGTTTTGTGTTTGTTTGTTTTGTTTGGCAATACTAACTGACAAACTTGGTTGTGAACGCCGTTATCACCATCTTAAAATTTTTTGTATTATGCAGGATTACTCACACTACCACAACATGCACTGCATTAGTGCTGACAATAAAAACACAACCTGAAATGTTTATCTTATGATTGTTTAGTGTTGTTCAATCAGATTATCTGATCCTCTTGGTGATAAACATTCTTAAATATCATTTCATAACTTGTAATATAATTATAGCTGTTACTGTTCACCACGCATAAACATATCAGAGCTTCCACTACCCAATGCTGAAGTATTATTTATTATTGTTGTTTATTTTCCTTTCTACTTCTTGGTATTTTTTCGCATTTTTATTGTTTTGTGTATTTTTGTTGTTGTTGTCTTTATATTTATATTTTGTAATACTCCTTTTAAATGTGCGATGAAATTAGATGCAATACTGTAGATATGTGCTGAAAATTCCACACTGTATCACTAGTACTGTTTCTGGAATAAAGCAAAATTATTATTATTATTATGCTTCTATATTAACTAGTTGAACCTTCACTTGTTCAGTTTACATATTTTCATTTATCTTTTCATATATATTTTCTATCTACCATTCAGATGTATCATTACACTGGTAATTGGGAACCTGAAACTGTTGCTGACTTTGTACGTATAGAAAAGTTGGTGTTATTCGGTGATTATTTATGCGGGATTGAAACACCTGTACTCACGTATAATATTGATCTTGGCATCTATGAGTCTATTGTACAACGTGAATCATCTGAACGAATTGAAGATAAACGTGGAGACAGTAAAATCAGCGGTCGATTGAATACTTCAGATGTCAGTTGTGAAAGTGATGATAAATCTCCTACTGATGCGGTAAGCGCGCGTTAATTTCAATGGTTCAATGGTTTAATTCTTCTTTCCTGTGTGATTTGTTGTCGTTATTAATTTCTTTTTTTTTTGTCAATAAACACCAGAGTGAGATAGCCTTGAACCAACTAATCAGTTCGCTCGGCACTACACAAATGGAATCTTTTCATAATCTTTGTTGCAGGATTCCCCTTTTTCTTAAACCTACCCGAACCTTAACTAACGTCGAATCAGATGAATCATGCAACGAAGATGATGAAAAACTACTATTTTGTAATACCAGCCAATTTGAATGGCTGGCTCAAGGTCATTTGACCCTGGTGCCTATTCTTTACTATTACCGTATTTGCATGCAACTCACACATTCTAGTTTAAGGAAGGGACTGAAATAGTTGAGCACGTTGACCACTTTTCTTATTTGCGAATTTTCACCAGTCTTGACGGGACTACTGATCGCTCCATTATAGATAAGAATTTATTTTGATAAGTCACATATTGTTACACAGTAATATTTAGTGATGACCACGTTTCGAGCATAAATTATTGCTCATAATCATATCAAGCTACTCACATAACTTTTTCCTTCATTTATATACCCATGTGTGGAATTGACTATATATTTGAATAGAAATCAATATGTGAGCAGTAGCACTAAGTAGCACAAGAAAAGACCCAAATGATGAAATAAAACAGATAGAGGAAGCGTTGGCGTTAAATAACTATCCTAGAAAATTCATTCGGAAAATCGAAAAAGGCTAAAAGCAAATTAAAAATAATTGTGAAACTAATAATGATAACATAAATAAAAGAGAATATCAGTCATCCACTATTATACCATATAAGGAGAGAGCATCTGAGACCCTACATAGGATTCTAAATAAAGCAGGAATTAGGGTGGCATTTAAACCTACAAAGTCACTCAGGCAGCGACAAGCTCTGCTAGTTAAAGAACCCTGTAGGTTGACCCAATTAAACGGAATAATATAATTTTAAAAATACCATGCTGTGACTGTGAGTGAGGTCAGCTACATAGGTCGGGGGTAGTCAGATTGTCAGAACATAGAAATTCAACTAAGATAAGAATGGTTGACCCAGAGAAAATAAGTAATTTAGAAAAAAGCTCAGCAATTGCACTTAGTGCATAAACACACAACTACACAATAGCATGGTAGGAGAGCGTTAAGATTCCAAGAAGTAATCTATGTAGGTGGAGAGAGATAGAGATTGAGTATTAAATCCTGCCTGGTTCATCAAGTCTACACCCAACACATGCAACAGAAATGACTCAATGCAAATACCAGAAGTATGGAAGATATTATTACCACCAATCAATCAAATCAGAAGAGGATAATAAATAATCTCAAAATTCTATTTCAATTCAAAAACACATCACAACATTCTGACAAGTAACTTATTATGACTAGGAAAAACACTCGTCTTATTTCCCATCTGATTGTATTTGATTAATAACACTCATACTAACAATTCTGAATGTACACTATCCTCCATTGATTTTTATTCAAATATCTGGTCAATTCCACACATGTATATAAATGAAGTGAAGAATTTGTGTGAGTGGGTGACTTGATATGATTATGAGCAATAGTTTGTGCTCGAAGCGTGGTCATCAGTTAATATTACTGTGTAGCACTGTGTGATTTATCAAAATAAAATGTGATCCATAATGGAGTTATACTCTACCACCACAGTGCCCAAGTTTTATACTTATATATTAATACTACTGATTACTGATAAACTCGCAGCACATATACAAATACTTCGTGTGATATTTACCAACTTTCGTCACCTTTGACGTAAATTTGTCATTTGGCTATCCACCAAAGTATGTGAGTTGAGTACTGTGCAGCAGTTCGCCTCGTCCTAATTTCTGGTTTTGAACGATGTCCATGGAAAGTTGGAAGTATCAAGAGCAGTTTAGCCGTCTCTAATTATAGATGTTTTCACCGTATCTCTTACGTTAGGTGATAATAATGTATTTAGTTGAGTTGTGAGGGTAGAAGTAGAGTTTTAGGTGTGAGGACGTAAAATTAATCGATGAAGCTGCATGAAATGAGATGGTTAGAATGTGCTTTACGCGTGCTGAGTCATCGCCTATTTCTAAAAACCAAATCAGTTACATGCGATTCATCATTAGTAATCATATTACGCCACCTAACATGAAAGACTGAACGCAGACGCCACCTTTAGTCAGGCATTGATACTCTCTTTCATACTCAGTTTTCAGTCGTATTACACAGTCGTAAGCTTGACAGAACTGAATGCTACACAGGATACATCTTCAATTGGTGGATGGTGACTATCAGTGAAATCCAGGATGCGCATTTCGTCCTAGTTGGTACTCGTCATCCGGATGTACCTGCATTTCCCAGTGAGTGATCATGTTCCAACCGAGACTCGAACCCAGTGTCCATAGTTTCAAACGCCTAAGCGTTATCTACTAGACCACTTGGCCACGAGGGGGGAGGCACATCCAGCAGACGAGTCCCGAATAGGACGAAATGCGCATTGTCGTGGATTCCACTGGTAGTCACCATACACCAATTAAATTCTAATTAAATGCCCAGACGTTGTCGGAGCATCTGTACAAGAAGCCGACGTGTCAACCTGAGACCGAGCACTTCGGTCCAATCAATCGAAGGGAAAATCTAAAATTCAATTAAAGTATACATGTTTCTTTGATAAATAACCGGATATCACAATAGCAGTTGGCAAATGTCTTCATACTGAGGTTTCATCAACAATCAGTCGATTAGATTAGACGAGATTCTCGAAATAATATGTAGATGACATAATCCTTCCTTCTACATGAAGACACTGACAAAATCCAGCAGAGTCTTCTAAACACCTTGAGAAGCAGCAGTCTTCGGATCTTTGGCGCCCTATTCCCTCCCATCAAATGTAAGATGATGCTATAGGAGTGGACTACACTACACTCCTAGGGAATGAAGTGGTAGAGCGTATCATCAGGTGAGAGATGGTCATTACACTCGTGGAGAATTCTGAAAGCTCACTTCATATGGTAGTTATCGCTGAAGATGTTGGTTAGAAGGATTATGAAATAGTCTCAGTTAAGGTATTCAGCTCATAAAAAGGGACCGCGTCAAATTTGACCCTCTTAGCTACAAATCTTCACCATTCACAATATACTATCATTTACAGTAGAGTCAAGTCAAAAAATCTGGTAAGTTTTAGATGCTGGTTAGTGTACACATGTTCCTGGAGCAGTAGAAGAGTAGAAATGTCAATGTACTTACTGTAATCCTAGTCAGAAGTCTGACTGACGTATTTTTTCTTGGAGTGTCTGAAACAGAAGGAGCATTGGTCTTTCGTGACCGCCGAGTCCAGGGGACACACTGCCTGTTTGTAATAGTCTTTGAAGTTGCCTTCGAATTAAGATCTTTTATCACTGACTACGGACAACCACAAGGCGCAATTTTCGATGTCGACCTATTTGCGAACTCCATTCCCTTAAACTGGGAGGTGGCATTATTGTCGTCTGACGGGAACACCTTAGTGTTGTTGCATCCCTATTCGCCGGTGATATGACTCTACCCACAACCCCCCCCCAACATATGTGACCTATCCACACTATTATGGTAACTGCTTTTAATCTAACTCTTATTCAAACAATCTCTGGAGTATGGATCTGATTTGCATGAGCATTGGTTCCAGTCAGTGTGTAGCTCATTGGGTCATTGCAATATGCAAGGCTAACCACCACGTCAAAGTAGCAGCTGGTGGTCAGACGGAAGTGTACCTGTGGTTTCTATACACTACCTAGTATCAATAAATTCCTGTTGAAGAACATTCTGAGTCATGCTATTAGTTCCTGTTGCTTTGCCTCTCTTCTTTGGATTGCAGAGGGTTTTCGCTGTTTCTACCAGAGTTCCGCAAGATTTGTTAAAATTCTTTTCAGTTTCAGGTTGTAACTGTATTGTGGATTAACTGTCACTTGTTCATCGTGTTGTTTTAATTAACGTTACAACCGTCTCTAATTAGGATTTAAGTTCCATCCGTCTCAGATATCATCTAACTTACCATATGTCAATTTTAGGATCGGTCGGCATCGTCGATTGTAAATGCACTTTCAATTTCTTTCTCATCCTCATACTTTTCAATCTATTTTCCAGGTATCCAACAATGACATAAAGGCGACCTCAGAAGAGGAGGCAGAAACGGATATCGCCGCCTTGCAACGACAAAGAGCATTCCTTCAAAAGCAACTGGATGAAGAAGCACGTCTGGCAACATGGCGTCATAACGCTATCAGACAAGCAGCATCTGGTGGCCAGAGAGCAGTAGAAATTGAAGTTCGACCAATCTACCTACTACCGGATACAAATTGTTATATTGATTGGTTAGAGGGAATTGCTACATTGGCACAGAAATCATCAAATTACACTGTCCTAGTTCCTATTGTTGGTAAGTGTCGATTATTTGTTACTATTATTATTATTATTATTATTATTATTTCTGTTTTGATTGGTTAATCTTGTTTTGTAAGGAAAATAGACAAGTGCGAATGCGTGACTCTATATACGACTAACTGATATTCAGATGTATATTTGGATACTATTATTATTGTTTCCTTTAGTTCCTAGAGGAACATAGGGCTTCAGTTGTACGTCTTTATTGCGTTCGGTTCTCCGCCAACGTTTTCACCTGGCTTCACGTCTGCCCACATGCTTTTATCTCTTCTTCACATGACTTTCTCCTCTTTGTCACACCCTGACGACCAACTCGCTAATTCCCATTCGGGTTCCACTCTAGAGCATGTCTTGTGATGTCACTTGATAGATTCCTCAGAGTATGGCCAGCCAATCCACCTGCATTTCTTCCCGAATATTTGTTGCACAATTGGTTCCTGCTGGGTTGGGTCGGTTCGTTCATTGTCAGAGACCCCTCACTGTTGCTGATCTTTTCTGGGTGCCGTCTGATCTTGAGTGAAGTATTGAGCGAAAACAGCTGTTGATGAAGGTCTGCAGTTTGTTCGAAGTGTGCCTTTCGTGACGCGCTGGTCAAGTCTCTGATTCGTGCAGTAAGTGGCACTGACTTCACAATGGATTTGAAAATCCGGATGTAATTTTTCATTCTGACTACTGAGTGTTGATTTCCTCCACACAGACTTGAGAGTAATGAAAGCTTGCCTTACCTTCCGATCTTTGCTTTGATATCCTTGTCAGTTCCATCCACCCGTAGTTAAAACGATGCTTCCCAGGTGTATGGGTAGGTAGGTAGGTGAAGGAAATTGCTTCTTGCAGATTTTTTCCATTTATGCTGCCTGATTGTTCTCTGTTGTTGCTGCTGTTCGCCAGGAACCTTCATCACTTACTCGAACTGCTTCACTTCGGTGCCAAGTTCTATGTTGAAACCAGACAGACAGGCAGTTTCCTCTATGTCCACCTGAAGGCCTACCTTTGATGCTTGTCCTTTTGTCAACTTGTTGCTTTTCACTTCCCTATCTTCCAATTTGTCGGAAATCAGATATATATCATCGGCGAAGTCCGAAACTAGTAGTAATCGCTAGCAAGCCGGATCGAGTCAGTTAACCCTCCCCCACCACCACTTCCGAATTCTGCCTATCTTCACGGGTGTTCACTAGTAATACACACGTTGAATAGACATTCACAGTCTGCAAATTACACAACCCGAGGTGAAATTTCTTAAAAATTCATCTTTGCAGAACCGAAATTATTCAGATAACAGTATGTGATCAGCTTTTGATTTAGTTGTGTTCTCTGAGAAGCTGGTTGATTTAATTACGAAGCTTTCGTTGGCCCCTTCAAGACTCCTGAAGACGACAGATCGAGGACAACTGGTGTGAGGTTCGACTGAAGCCTTATGTTCCATTCAGAACATTCCGAAGGAATCACAATATTAATATACTTTTTTATATTAAGGACCAACCATCGCTGTGGACCCGGGTTCGACTCTCGACCGGTTATAAGCCCGACAAAGAATGAAGGTTGGTCGTTAGGCTAGCAACCCCACCACGTAAAATAAACACTACCGCTACTAAGACTTCAAAGCTCTAGCTTGAATTCCTATATTCCACGAGGAACTCAAGGGATTAAATAAAATATTAAGGATATACTTTGGGCATTTTTACTTTGCTGATGGTGGTGACTAGCTGTGTGGAATCTAAGATACAAACTTCGTCTCAGGTGGCAGTCATCATCTGTCATCATTAACGTAGGACTGGGCACGTCGCTGCAACATTATCAATCAGTGGGTAATGCAAAATAAACTTAAGTCCTCGTTGAAATAGACAGGTGGCTTAATCGAAAAAACCTTTGGTGTTTGACAGAATTTCTCACTGAAAATGCATGTATATTCGGCGGACAAGTACTAAATAGGACTAAAATTAGCATCCTGGATTCTATTACCAGTCACCATCAATTAAAACGGCGCTATGTTAATCCAAAGGCGTTGTCGAAGTATCCGTACTTGTATGTACGAGTCGACATGTCAGCAGAGATTGAACATTTCGGTCCAGTAACATAATCAACCAAAGTGAAGTGTATTTTTCATCAGTCAATAAAAAGGACTATCCTTCCGTTGTTGATTTAACATGAATTTTTTTCGGTTCAGATTTGACCACGGATTGTTAGTGGTTAGTTAGCTAGAGAGAACCATTGAAAACCAGCACTAGAGAACCTACTGGACAGCTGCTTCGCCAATAGTCTCTTGGGCTTATCGGCAATACACACTCACACAACGGGTTTCGAACACGGAACCTACCGATTACACTGTAACGGGAGAAGACAAGAGACTTGGGGATGGAATGCCTACGTGCTCTTTCATATACACACTCAGGGGAATTACGTGCACCATATGTTTATTAAAATTGTCATTTGCACAGATCTGTGTTTTGCTGTTACTTCTGTCCTTCGTATTGCCTTTCTTTGTCTTCTTTTCATATCTCCCATGATTTGGGGTAATACCGGTTCATTTGTTCTCTTTGACGTCAAATCTATCTCTTCCCTATTCGATATTTTCATGAACAGGGTTCGAACCCAGGACCTTTTGTTACAAAGTGAGCTCGTATACCATTAAACCACTGGAACGCGATCCAATGGCACATGATTTCTAACTTCTGCCATTTCACGACATAGCGCGACCGCTAGCCAATGTCATCGGTGGTGAGTATTTGTCCTCACATCCAACCAGCTGTACCTGACTGGTCACGACTTCTCACTAGAACCCCACGTAACTACCCACCTGAATAGGGCAAGTCGCTCCAGGCAACTTCTTTTATTGGAAAACAATTTTCAGCTCACTATTGATTTTGTTTTTCGTTCTCTTTCTTTTGTCTTCTAGTTGTCAATGAACTGGACACATTAAGTCGATATGGTAGTAGTAGTTCCGGTGGTGGAGGTGTCGATCGACCCTACGAAGTTGTCGGTGGTGAGGTGACACGTGCTGGTCTAATACAAGAACGTGCAAAACTTGCTATCGCCTACTTGGAGCATGAATTTGAGCATAGGAATTCACGTCTGCGTGCATTAACAGCACGTGGTAGTCTAATGGAGACAATTGCTTACCGGAATGAAATCAACGGGGGTAGAACACCTGGTCAAACCAATGATGATGTTATTTTAACGTGTTGTCAACATTTCTCCAAAGAGGATGCTGATCGTTTTCAAATGCGTAATCTTGCTCAATCTCTTCAAGGTGATCAAAATAGTAAGTTGTTCAATTTTTTTGTTTTGAGAAAACAGTTTCACTTATTGCGTCTACATGTTAACAATGGAGCTGTGGTTCATTGGTGATTGGTCGGTTGGTTGGTTAGCTAGGAATCGAACCCCTCGATCACGGCCTGAAAGCATTGCTCCACCTACCGAAGTTGGGGCGACAGTTGATATATGACCGAACGGATTTAAACGTGGATAAAATAACCCTAAAGGCAACAGACAACTCAACTGTGAAAGGCTAGCTACGGTATTCGTCCTTTAGTACCTTCTGCTTCACTGAGCCATGTAATTGTCGAAATACGAAGATTGGTCTGTGATTGTTAGGATATGGAGATTTTCTTGAGGAAAAACACATTCAAATTCGTTTCGATCAGGAAAATCGAAGCATTCTGATTGGTCGGCAGATGGTCGAAGGTTAGATAGTGAGACGACTAAAGATTGTCCAACGAGTTTATTTCATGTAAATATCAAACATATTAGATCCAGATTTGATCCAGATCTAAATAAACACTTCTACCTCTTCAGGTAGTGACTTAGAACGTTGATTCCAACTTCAGTCGCTTCCCATCAGCAGCCAGGTAGTATTAGAATAGTATTCACAGTAGGAGGAAAACAAGATGATGAGTGTGACGTCGTATGTAAAGGAGAATGATGATCAGGAGGAGGGTTTCCTGTGTTTTTGGAACTGTGTGGGCGGTTGTGATGTTTTCTTGAGTACCTGAAAGAGAAAAAGAGTTAGTGTTGAGTGACCAAAGAACCCGAGGGACAACTGCTTGAGGCCGATCAAACACGGCCTGCATGAACTGGTTTCTTGGATTGGTTCCGTATTAGTAACTTACCACCGACTACGGACCACCGTAGGGTAAGTCAGGACCTACAATTTTTGGGGTCAACCTTTTCAAACCCCGTCTCTCAGAGTAGAGACGCAGCATAGCTGGCATGCTGGTCATCTGAGGGAAACACCTCACGGCTGTTACACCCCTGTTCCTCAGGAGTACAACTTCGCCTACAGACCCCTAGCGTATTGTAAAAAACAATTCTTACACTAAGCCGGTAACTGCTTTTAGTTAAATCGCTACCTTAACCTGTAGGAACAATAGTTCCAGCCAGTATAGCTTGTTGGGTCATTGCAATATGCAAACCCAACTATCACGTCAAGGTCATAGCTATCGGTCAGGAAGTACGATTAAGTCGTTGTTCAATAGTAGACAACATTAACAAATAATGTTGGAAAAGAAATCTTGAAAATCCTGTAACATCTGAGCCTGGACACTGAAGTGCTCATACTAATTCCCGAACGATATCACCGAACCTTTACTTAACCCCATTACCAAATCATTCCTAAACCTAATTTTAACTGAAAAATGATAACCGTGATAGACTTATAGAGTATGTCGCGAATATTGATCTGATTGATTTTTCAACGTCCTTCATTTGCATCGGTATCCCTTACAACTTTGAAATTTCCACGTGTGTTGTTTTATCAGGGATCTGATTGATTTTAAATTCTAATCACAAACTGACTTTGGTTAAAGAACTGCTGGAAATACTTGGCAAATGTTTCGTCCTAGTTGAGGGCACTTCGTAAGTCCCACCAAGGATCCAACCTAGGACCTTCAGGTCACACGGGTAGCTGGTTGACCATTCAGCCATCGGGACAGAATGCACCAGACTATCAATTCTAACTCCTGTCAATTCATAATGCGTAGTAGCAAGCAAAGGTCAGCCAATTTCATCGCCTATTATTCGTCATCACAACCTCTAACCTGGTGGTGGTCCGCCCTGTCTACAACTTTTCACTGAAATTGCCGACACTTTCATACTGTCGTCAGTGAGCACTGAATTAATTTTCATGTGTGTGTTAGTTTACAGGGAATTTTTGTTTGATAATTTCAAGTTTTGAAATTTTTCTTATCACATTACTTTACTTTCAGATCAACCAATGCGATTAATGCGTGAAGTTGTCCTGCTCACATCAGATCGTAATCTACGTCTGAAAGCGTTAAATGTCAATATACCAGCAAGACCATTACGAACATTTGTCAGCTGGTCACGTTTACCGCTGATGACAGTCAATTCAACGAATTTATTGTCATCCGATTCACTGAATTCATCAGATAGGCATAATAATAATAATGGTAGCAGCAATAGTAATAATAATAAAACACTGACAGACTTTCCAAAACTTCAACCACGTGGACAATGGAAACAACCGTTGAAGTATTGATCAATTACTTACTATTATTATTATTATTACCTTTATTCACCTTCATTGTGTTATTTTAGTCATCAAGCAATTCCTCTTCTAACTTTCCTTTCTCAATACAACATATATAAACATATTTATACGTTCGTTCACATAAAACTGTACAAAATACACAATATCAATAACGAAATTGCATTTCATAACACTCATATATATTTTTACTTCTATTGGGTTTGCCATCAATAGCTCTCTCTCTTCTTTCCTCCCTCTCTCCGTCCCACACACACACACACACCGCCTAACATAAATTAGTAATTCCCCCAGTGTTCTACTATTCCATGTTGATATGATGTGAAGGCATGTATGTTTAGATGGTAGCAGGTTGCATTGTGTGTGTGTGTTGGTGCTCGAGGAGTGAAAGAAAGCACCTGGGCCAAAAAGAAGATAAAAAAGGTGGACATTTCAAGCTCCCTCTTTGATCAAATAAGCAGTAAGTAAGAAAATTCCCTGTAGTTAATCTTTTACAGGAAGGCTGTAGTTTCTGTGCTTAATACACTAAGCATTATATATATACCTATAGTAGTATTTTGTAAAATTGTCATTCCCCCCGCCACCCACGTATTCACACTCCTGCACCGTCGCCCCCCCCCCAAACCCGTGTTGTTTTGTTTCCTCTTGCACTGTAATATTTGTCATTAATTCTTCTGTCTTCGTGTGTGTGTGTGTGTGAATGAGGGTTATTCACCAAAAATAGTTTTACTCCTCCTCATCACCATCACCATTCTTTTTTGTATAGTTTGCTCTCAAATGAATCATATAACCACGACCAGTCCTACCATTGTTCGTACTACTGTCACTACTACGACTACTACTAATTATAACGACAGTAGTACTTACCCATACTACTTGTACGCATTGTTATCCTTTAAATCTTTCATATTTTGAGTTATTTCTTAGTATAATAAAAGCCAGAAGGTATGTAGAACACCATTCATTATCTTTATTTGTAATGGTAGTTATATATGCTGATGGTATATATTATTATTATTATTATTGCCCATAATGTGTAACTTTATTAACCGTGATACACATATAGTGATACATATTAATATATACATAGTTAAATAAAATTCTGTTTGATCTATGAATATTCTCTTTTCGTTTGTATTCTAGATAGCATCTGTGTGTTTGTGGTTTGTATGTGTATGTGTTTGATGATATTATATCCTGTTGACTTCTTTTTTCTTATTAACAAATTCTCGTGGAACTGGACAACGCGGAGAGAGATGTATGTGTGTGGTCTCAGTGGGAACATAGAGTTAGTTTCATCTCCACCTAGGATTCAGTTCTGTCTCACTCTCTCTCTCTCTGGATTTCTCCCCATAGCAATCCTCATTCCCTCTTCACACACGATGTCCTCCATCATCATTCTTTGACCGACGGTCAACTCCGGTTCCACTTAAGAGGGCAAGCCTGGTCTTCTTAGCGAATATGTGGTCCAATCGACCTCCACATGTATTTCTTGTGAGGTAAATAGATTCTTGGTTGTTTTTAGTCAACAGAGTCGCTTGCTTCTAACCTCTCTGGTCATTTTGATCTTCAGCATTCAGCCTTTGTTGGTGATGATGACACGTCGAGTCTCTGAACTATCTAGAAGTATTGGCTTGATAACTCCATTATAGATAAGATTTTATTTTGATAAGTCACACAGTGTGTTATACAGTAATATTAACTGATGCGACCACATTTCGAGCACAAACTATTGCCACTCATAATCATCATATCAAGTCACTCACTCACACAACTTTTTTCTTTCATTTATACACATGTGTGGAACTGAGTAGATGTTTGAATAAAAATCAATATAGGATAATCTACATTCGGAAATACGAGTGTTATTAATCACTTACAATCAGATGGGAAATAAGACGAATGTTTTTATAGTCATAATAAGTAATTTGTTAGAATGTTGTGATGTGCTTGAATTGAAATAGAATTTTGAGATTATTTATTATCCTCCTCTGATTTGACTGGTGGTAACAACATCTTCCATATTTCTGGTATTTGCATCGAGTCACTTCTGTTGCATATGTTAGGTGTAGACTTGATGAACCAGGTAGGATTCAGTAATCAATCATTCCCTATCCCGGACTACATATATTGCTTCTTAGAATCGTAACACTCTCCCACCCACCCTATTGTGTGATTGTGTGTTAATGCATGTAGTGCAATCGCTGAGCTTTTTTTCTAAATTACTTATCTCCTCGGAGTCAACCATTCTTACTTTAGCCACATTCTTATATTCTGACAGGCAATCTGACTACTCCTGATCTACTAGTTTGACCTATGTAGTTAGTTGGCCTAACTCACAGTCATTGGAAGGTATTTTGTTTAATTGGGTCCACTGGGTTGTTTAGCCTACAGAGCTTGTCTCTGAGTTGTGAGTTTGTAGGTTTGAATACCACCCTAATTCCTGCTTATCTATAATGGAGTTATACTCGACCACTGTACTCTATAAGTTTTATACTTAAATCAGTATTGACTTGATATTGGTGTTAAAAATGTGTACTTTTTTTTCTTTATTGCTGAGCCGCTTGCAGCAGAGTTCTATTGTAATTTCAGATTCATAAATTTCTGTCTTGCTTTCCCGATGATCCTGACTGGTTCTCTCACTGCCGTCCCATCTGTGTGTTTCCTGTATTTGAAATGCTGCTGTCTACTTAAGCAAAAGAAGTGACTTCATTCAAACTTCTTCTTATGTTGACAGTGATTAGTATTTGCTGCTGTTGTTGTTAAGGGTGGTGGTTGTAGTGGTAGTGGTTAGGTATGACTCCACTATGAATAAAATTTTACTTATTATTATTGTTTCCTTTAATTCCTGGCGGGGAACATAGGACTTCAGCCATGCGTCTCCACTGCGTTCGTTTCTCTGCTAGAGTTTTCACGGGCTCCAAGTATGCCCACATGCTTTCATTTCCTCTTCACATCACCTCCTCTAAGTCACCCCACCCTCGCACTGACGACCAACGCGCCGCTTCCCTTTCGGGTTCCACTCGAGCGACGGCTTGTCTAGTGATGTCACTTGATGGTTTGTTTTCTCAGAGTATAGCCAGCTAATACATTTCCATTTCTTCCTACCTATTTGTTTCACAGTCGGTTCCTGGTTGGTTCGCTCATTGCCAGAGATCCCTCACTATTGCTGATCTTTTCGGGCTGACCATCTGATCTCGAGTATTGAGCGAAGACAGCTGTTGATGAAGGTCTGTAGTTTGTTTGAGGTGCTCTTTATGACACGCCAAGTCTCTGATCCGTATAGTAGCACTGACTGACTTCACACTGGAGTTGAAAATCCAGATATTATTTCTCATGCTGAGTGTTGATTTCCTCCACACAGACTTGAGAGTAATGAAAGCTTGTCTTGTTTTCCCGATTCTTGCTTTGATATCCTCGTCAGTTCCTTTTCCCTGTAGTTGAAACGATTCTTTCCATGTATATGGGTAGGTAGGTAGGTGAAGGAGGTTGCTTCTTGCAGATTCTTTCCATTTATACTGATTGTTGTTTGTTGCTTTTGATGTTGGCCAGGAATCTTCATCACCTCTGTTTGCTCTATGCCCATCTGGAGTGAATTCCTATCTTTGCTGCTTCTTCTATCGTTAACTTGTTGCTTTTCACTTGCATATCTTCCAGTTTGTGAGAAATCGTACAAATATCATCGGCGAAGTCCAGATCCTCCAAGTTTTTTGTGTGGGTCCATTTTATGTCTGTTATGCCATGTATAAAATTTTACTTTGATAAAATCAGACACACATCCAAACCTACAAACTCACTTAGAGACAAGCTTTGTAGGCTAAACGACCCAGTGGACCCAATTAAACAAAATAGTATAATACACAAAATACCTTCCAATGACTGTGAGTTAGGTCAACTAACTACATAGGTCAAACTAGTAGATCAGGAGTAGTCAGATTGCCTGTCAGAACATAAGAATTCAGCTAAGGTTAGAATGATAGATCGCATGAAGATAAGTAATTTAGAAAAAAAAACCTCCGCAATTGCATTACATGCATTAACACACAACCACACAATAAGATGGTGGGACAGAATCGAAACTCTGAAAAGTATTGTAGGTAGGTGGAGAGCGATTGAGATTGATTCCTGAGTCCTGCCTGGTGGATCAAGTCCACACCCAACACACGCAATAGCAGTGACTGAATGCAAATACGAGAGATGTGCATGGCAGATATTATTACCACCAGTCACTCAGTCAAATCAGAGGAGGATAATAAATAATCTTAAAATTCTATTTCAATTCACACATTATAACATTCTAACAAGTTATTTATTCATTTTACTATACAAACATCTCATTTCTCATCTTACTGTATTTGATTGATAACACTCATATTAATAATTCTGTATGTACATTATCACATATTGATTTTATTCAAATGCATGGTCATCAGTTTTTACTCATGTAAATAAATGAAACACGACAGTTATGTGAGTAGTGCTTTGAATATGATGATTATGAGCAGTAGTAATAAATTGCGCTTGAAACGTGGTCACATCAGTAAATATTACTGTATAGCACACACTGTGTGATTCTATCAAAATAAAATTTTATCCATAATGGCGTTATACTCTACCACAGTGCAGTGCCCAAATTTTATCCTTATATAATAATAATAATAATAATAATAATAATAATCACTTTATTCCACAACAATAACAATTTACAGCATGGAATTTTCAGCGTTTCTTTTACATATTGCAATGGTTTAGCTCTGTTTATAATTATATAAATATATAAAATGTTAAAATATTGATAGTTAATAGGAAAAAATAATAAAAAAATAAAAATAAAAAAAACCAACAAAATCATACCATTTCTAGGTCATAGTGAATAATAAATAAATAATATAACAAATAACACATGCATTAATATGCATCATTTCATTTTATAGTTTAGTTATTGATTCAAAAGTTGTAAAAGTTCTTTTCTGATATTTGTCTCTTCACAC